AGAGAAAATGTGAGCGACATGTGATGTGACGTAACAAATTAACTCACTCTCTCTCCCTCACATTTTCTCCCCGTCCATCCGTCTCTAGATCACTTTTTCTCAACCAACCCCTCACCCACCCCCTTGTTGCTGCCGTCATCTCTCTCTGACATGTTTGTCTCTCTCTCTCTCTCTCTCTCTCACTCTCTCTCTCCCCACTGGCAGTAGCATGTCTGATAAGTTTTTACATCCGGCTATATGTTAACCATGCTTCTCGTTAATGATGGTCATTTTTTCTAATGCCTCGGATATGAACAATATCTTGTTCAAAGTCAATGACCTAAGGTTATTTAATGTTTTCATAAATAAAAAGTATTTATTTATGAAAACATTAAAAAACCTTAGTTACAATATTATTATTTGTTACCTACTGCAGAACTATTATGAAGTAACTGTTGCTGTCAATAGTTGGGCAGTGGACCACCGGGTCGTCAGACATTCAGGTTCATTCATCCATTCGTTAATTATTCAGAGCAGTTCGTATATTAATATGTCGTATATTAATCATGTCGGGGTTGATGAAACAGACATATTTCATCATCGTTGTAAGTTCAGCATATGTAACGGATCCTGATTGAACTAAATTCATTAGTGCAAATAATGTGGCAGTGGCGTATTGTCAATATAACCAAGCTGAACTTGCTGGGTCACTGCAGGGGTTAAAAAGGGGGACGATCACCCGGAGGTGGAAATACGATCAGTGGTGTGGTCTGGTTGAATTTTAGGCTTCACAAACGTTTGCCCATGCGCAAAATTAACGATATAACACTGCCCATTCTTGAACAGAATAAAATCAAGTGTTTCTGCGGGGAGAACACTTGTGGACATCACACTGTGACAGTGAACATCATCAGTTGACGCACCGTGAGTATGTTTATATCTAAACCCCAACAGCCCCAGATGGCTGTCAGTGGGAAACAGTTCTGTATACTTTCATGGATGAACGTTATTTTATTATGGTGTCATGAAGTTATCCATAAAAGTAAAATGTCTTTGTTATCAATGATGAACTACTTAAGTGAAACAGGTGAGTCAATATATTATAACTTTTACCTGTATTCGTGGTATTACATGAAAGACATCCAGCCGTTGTATACATAGGAATATATAAGTTTATACTTTAAAATATTCGATGCCAAAATTAAGCCAATTTTATTGTATGGAGCCGAAATATGGGGTTTGAATTATTACAATGATATCGAAAGAGTTCAATTGAAAGCATGTAAAAGATTTCTTGGTGTTAAATCCAATACGATGAATACAATGGTGTATGGAGAATGTGGTAAATACCCGATGCACCTGTTTTCAAATATCAGAGTTATAAAATACTGGTTAAAATTACTGAAGATGCCTTCCTATAGGCTAACAAAGAAATGTTACAATATGATGATGCTATTCGATAAAAATGGACACACAAATTGGGTTTCTTCTGTTAGAAATTTTCTATTTTCGAAAGGGTTTGGTTTTGTATGGAACGATCAGTATGTTGATTCTGAGGGTAAGTTTCTTATAGAACTAACACGCACATTAAAAGATATCTATTTGCAAGAATTGTTTGAAAAGTTATTATTTTCTAGTAAATGTTTGTATTAAAGATGTTTAAGAGTACTTTTGACGCCGAAATTTATCTTTCATTCTAAACGTAAAAAAGTATAGGATAGCGTTAAGCAGATTAAGATGTTCTTCACATGATTTATTTATCGAAAGTGGAAGATTTAAAAATGTCAAACAAGAAAATAGAACTTGCAAACTATATGATCTTAACCAAATATGTCGGGGGACACCAGAATATCATTTTCTTTTAATTTGCCCTGCTTATAATTCCCTGAGAAAGTTGTATATCAAGAAATGTTACTGTGCCCATCCAAACCTTTATAAATTTTCAGCATTGTTAAACATACTGTACTTCAAAACTTGTCCATGTTTGCTTACTATGCCATGTTGTTTAGGACAGAATATATCTCAGAACACAATCTAACCTAAAGTTGAATATTTTCTCTTATTCATGTATATTACATGTGCGTGTAAATATTGATTTATAAATGTGTTGTACTACAGGCCTGTGGCCTTTCAGTCCCGGAAATGTTGATACAAGTAATGTTACGTTTTCATATGTGTACTATGTGTTTTGTTTTGTCGTTCTACATGAAGCTATGCTTACACAATTCAAATCAGATCAGATTCAGATGTAAATTGATAACATATTACTGATATACGTTTATAATATATGCACCTATGATTTCCTGATGTACATGATAATAAATTAGAATAATAAGCATACGATCCAAGTCTTTTGAACAACATAATATGGGTATAACTGTTAATGCCAAGCATTAGACGAAGTATTTGTGTTCTGCACAATATCATATACAAGATCGTTTGTTTGTAACCCATCAAGATCCGGGTTAGAATTGATCCTCAGCAACCCATGCTTGTCGTAAGAGGCGACCAACAGGATCGGGCGGTCAGGCTCGCTGACTTTGTTGACACATGTTATCGTATCCAAGTTGCGTAGATTGATGCTCGTGCTGTTGATCACTGCATTGTCTGGTCCGGGCACGATTAATTACAGCCGCTGTCATATAGCTGGAATATTGTTGAGTGCAGCGTAAAACAAAACTCACTCAGTGTTTTGTCAGTAAAACAGCACCGACACATATCCGAAAATCTCCACGTTTCGCACGTTGGAGCCCAACACAGGCATGGTGCCGTTCCTTGTTTTGACACTTTAATGGATATAACATCTGGTGTGTACTGAAGATGTGGCCGTGTTGCGTCTGCAGGGCGTCTGCAAACTGCTTGGAGGTGGGGTAGCCCAGTGGTTAAAGCGTTCGCTAAAAGCGGCGTAAAACTAAACTCACTCACTCAGTCTTCGGACTTGTGATATACTAAAACATGTAAAACGATCAGGTAGTCTCAGGTCAAACATGATCATCTGATCCGTGACCAGTCTCTACGACAACTGCAGGAAACAAATGTCTCCTTAAAGTTTAGAAAAACATGAATAAGTTATCTCCGATTATCTTTGTAAGCGCGTATCTTCGACGATTTAGTTATGGAATAAGAAAGTGTATTTTTGGTGGCGAAATTGTGTTTAGTTGTTTCTCAGTCATAATGTTTAATATTTTCCTAAAATCGAGACCCGTGAAGGTCCGGGTTAGAATAGCCCTTCAGCAACCCATGCTTGCTATAAAAGGCGACTATGCTAGTCGTAAAAGGGATCGGGTGGTCACGCTCGCTGACTTGGTTGACACATGTCATCGGTTCCCAATTGCGCAGATCGATGCTCATGCTGTTGATCACTGGATTGTCTGGTCCAGACTTGATTATTTACAGACCGCCGCCATATAGCTGGAATATTGCTGAGTGCGGCGTAAAACTCAACTCACTCACTCACTCACTCCTAAAATCGATGAACTGTAATATTATCGGTCGACATCAGTTGAATAAACTTCCGGTTGATGATTATAACGATATTTCTGAGTGTGGCGTGATATGGGGTGTTTTTTTAATGGACATTTATTTATAAAGAAATCTCATGTTTTAAATCAAAACACAGTCTTTCCTCTCCAGTAATCCTGTTGCTGCTGCTGTTTTGTGCACAGGTCTCAATACACAGTCAAGACGAAGTGCAGTAGACTAGATATATAACTAACATGCTAATATGACGAACTGACGGATATATCGAACTTGTTTTCCGGTCCCTGAATTTGCTGTCTTTTAGTTTCATGCAAGTGAGTGAGTATGGTTTTGCGCCACTTAGCAATATCCCAGCAATATCACAGCGTGGCAACCAGAAATGGGCTTCCGTGTCATGACGAAACTCTTGAAACACAAAAAGGTGACACGACGAAATCTCCGGACAAACAGTTTCTTCAATATTTTTTCAAATGGTATATGAAGGACCGCGAAATGTTGATTTTGACATTCACACTATTAACGATTACAGTGTTAATGACAGAACATTGCTAAATGGGACCATAGCAAAGGAAGAAATTATTGCCATAGTTACAAAACTGAAAAATATTGAAGCTACTGGACTTGATGATGTCATAAACGAGTACATTTCTTACAGCACTGATATATTTTCAGATATTTATGTAAAACATTTCAACACGGCTTTAGATACGGGGAGTTGTCCAAAAAGCCCATTTCTGGTGTTGCTGGAATATTGCTGAAAGCGGCGTAAAACCGTACTCATTCACCCACTGACCACCTCAGATCTATGCATCTTGACCAGATTAATCTTTGATTATTCGGAGTTGTTTGTTTATTTATCTTTTGTTTTCACACAGTATGGGGATAAACCTTTAGTTGCGGATGATCTGTAGCCCTTTTTATATTGTACTGGTGTGTCTAGTGATTTATTTTTATGATACCGTACTTGTTTTAAATTAAGAGCTGTGATAACATAGTAATTTTACTGTCCTTCGATGACAGATTTTACGTTCTATATTTATTGATTTTAATATTGATATAAATTAAATTGTTCTCGTCACGATATGGCTTCAATATTGCCGATGTGACGCTATATATTAACTCACTCACTCAGTGGACCACACAATTCTTTAATTGACATCATGATCATCGATCAATTCAACCGGGGTACAGTAACGTGTATCAACTAAGTCAGCGAATCTGACTACGCTATTCCGTTAGTCGCTTTCTTTTAATAAGCATTAATTGCAATGGCAAATTTTGACTAATATGAAAGATATATTATATTTATGTATTCCTGCGATATTGTTTGATGATGATTATATCTAATGGGAACTTCATTGACAACTTCTTCTTCTTCACGGTTAGTCGTTATTTCACATGCATATCTGTTTTCAGGCATCAAAACAATGGACGGGACACAGTTATTGTAATCACCAAATTAAAATATTTTGACGATTCTATTTGGATGAAAATAATTACCTTTCTGGCTTTCACTGACGAGTTGATCAACACTAAACACAATGCCGTTCAATTCTAAATCCCATGAACCACAACTACGCTCGTTCAAACACAACGACAACGAGTCTAACGGTGTCGGTGCAGTGTACGTCATATCCCGTGACACCGACAAGGCGGCACCTAGTAACGGAAATCTACTAATACAGGATGCCGGAGTGACTTCCAAAGATGACAAATCAAAGGACAGTGATGAGGATAAGAAAGTCACTTTTCTCCAGTTGGTGAGTAGATGTTTCTTTCCAAACATTACCATTTTATTATTATTATCTTCTTCTTCTTGGTGGTGGTTTGATGCTTAACGCCGCACAGTGTCCGATATTAGCTGTTCCAATCCAAAATGCTGCCTTATAGTGATAGTGACACACACCCTGTTTTGTCAACGTGTCAAGATTTCCATTCAGAATAATCTTAACCCAACATGACTTATTTTGTTAATGATGCTATGTAATAATCAGTATGTATGCCAGTTAGGTCATAATGTCTTCATAATGCCTTCAGTTCCGCTTCGCTGATAAAAAAGACGCGTTGCTGATGCTCGTGGGAACGTTCACGGCGCTGGCGTCAGGCATCTTGCTCCCCGTTAAATCTACTCTTCTATGGAAGAGTCATCAGTCTCTTTGTAGGCGGCAGCAGTTCAAACAAGTAAGTTTTATTATTAAATATATCGTGAAATATAACCAGTGTCATATATATCATATGTGCACATGTGCACAAATCACTTTTGCCGAGAAACCATATTTTGTTTCTGTATATCGTCGTCTGTGACGTCATTAAATAATTGAACGTGACGTCAATGAAGAGGGCCGTCACACTTGCTTACCGAGTTTTACTGCACAAATGTACATGAATAAAATGAATAATAAAGAAATGATTACACTCGCAAGTGTTCCACACGACTTTCGCTCGGGCAATACAAAATTTCACACGTTTCGTATACGTCGTATGATACATTTGTTCGTGTAATAGTCTATATTAATATATTAATACATTGCCAGTCAATCCGGGGTATTTCATTAGCTTACAAAGCACAACCAGTTGCAGGGATAAAAATAATCACACCTAACAACAGTTCCTTTAATTTTCAATTGTTCTAAAAAATCGCTATGCCTTTTTTGCCATCATCGATATACTGAAATATAATAATGTCACTATATGTTTTATGTGGACTTGTTTTCAGCATAACTGGGACAAATGTGACAACTCCTTATGCAAGTTTATATGAACAGACCTCGGGAATTGCTATTGTATTTTGCATACTTGGCGTGCTGGCTTTGATAATGGGTTACCTATCAGTGACCACCTGGTCATGGACTTCTGAACGTCAGATTCGACAAATCAGGATCAACTTCTATCGGTCTGTGATGAAACAAGACATACCCTGGTTTGACGGTCACAAGAGTGGCGAGTTGACTACAAGGTTCTCAGAGTAAGTTTTCTTCCACTCAGTAAGTGGCTGCTGAATTTGACTTGACATTACCTAAGTTACATCACAGCTTTGTATGGAAGATTTGAAAGGACATTATAATTATTGAAATTATATCATCTCGCGGTTTTTTTATGATGACAAGTGTTTTCAATCTTCAGGGATATGCTGCAGATCCATGATGGGATGGGGGGACAAGCTGGCTGTGTTCCTCCAGTGGATATGTACCTGGCTGGCGTCTGTCGTCATATCCATTGCTCTGTACTGGAAGCTTGCACTGGTCGCCCTGTCATTCAGTCCCTTCATTGTGCTCATATCTGGAACCCTCATTGGAGTAAGTCGGTAGTTTACTGTAGGTCTACTTTACCATATTGGCTAGTGGTCCATAACCAGGTTTCAACTTATGCTAAGTTATATTCTAAGAAACTAGTTGTTTTAATAGTGAAATTGTATTTTTGTACATGGACTTTGATACTTAACCAACTGTTTTGGTGTAAGTTGTCAACATACTTTAGACGTAATTCGCTTGTTCTTGTCGCGATATGGCTGCAGTGTTGCCGATGGGACGTAAACTCACTCATTCATTGCATACATGGTGTTCATATTTCAGTATGCTCGGAATGTGACGAAGCAGGAAGCGATGAAGTACGCTAAGGCAGGTGCAGTGGCGCAGGAAGTGTTCAGTTCAATACGGACAGTACACGCGTTCCAGGGACAAGAGAAAGCGTGCAGCAGGTGCGTGAAAAGCGTTGTCTTCATCTTCCTATTAGCACTTAGATAGTATACTTAAATATTGTTTCTATAACATTTCGGTCTTTCCATGTTAGGAAACACCATTCACATGTTTGTTCACGGAATGGAATGACATCCATAGATGGCACCTGGCCAAGGCGATTGTAGGGAGCTTCATCCATGGTCACGTTCATCCATGGTGGTGTAGCTTAGTGGTTAAATCTTTTGCTCGTCACGCCGAAGGCCCGGGTTCTATTCCCCACATCGGTACAAAGTGTAAAATCAATTTCTGGGGTCCCCATTATATTGGTGGAATATTGTTAAAAGTGGCGTAAATTTCACTCAAATCGACACTCAGAGCTCTGAACTCTTGTAACCCATAACAATGAAAAGTTAATTAATGTCACATTATAATTAATGCATAGCGTACAATCACGCAAGACGTGACTGACAATATACGTAGGTTAGGATGACATGTACCAAGTCAGCGCGCCTGGCCACTGAATCCGGCTAGACTGTTTCTACAAGCATGGGTTGAAGAAGGTCAATTCTATTGGTTCTTCACGTCAATTCTGTTGGTTCCGACAAATGTAATTAACAAGGACAGCGTGCGGAGAAAACTCGTAAATTTTGCTGATAGACTTCGTAAATGTTGCAAAATGTGCTACTATGCAATGTTGGTTAGATCCTTGAACGATAAACTGAATAAAACGTCCATGAGGGATCCATCTTTGACTGCATTCACGTTATTTAGTTTCTCTCACAAAGGTGGGAATACTGGTTGCTCAGTCGTCTTACGAGCTGCACAGATGATCGTGCTTTTGTTTACAGCTTGTTCAGCTGGACCTGATCACGTGAATACTATTTGCATTGCGTGTCACAGCTGGTTAGGTCTACTATTGTGAAGGGGTGTACCTTTGTTAGTTGATTGTCAACATGTCCGAACAGCCGAGACAAGGTCACCGTTTGACATCTCAGTGTCGAGAAATCGTCAGCGATGTCCTAACTTTCTTTAAAAAGAAGCTACAGATTGATTAATGTTTCCAAATCGGGCTTTTCGGCAGCGAGCAGCAGCAGCAACTGGTGTTTCCAGTGCAACCGTGGGCCAAATAGAACAAGAAAGGAAAATGCTCCCCTATTTAATGAAGTTAACTCGACCTGCCGTTTGTGCCATTTGGCCTCCCGGGTCATGCATATGTAGAGTAGCTCAGGTCAAGCTGAACAAACTGTAGCTCTATTTGTGGGCACCATACCCGTGCTTGGGGATTTCGCCAAACTGGTATACGTCCGCAGCCTTGTTTCACTTTGGTCCTTCCCCTTACACGCAGTGTTGTAACTGGAATAATGTTTAGATCAGTGTTAAACACCACTCACTCACTCATCCACCCACGCATTGAAATGACTCACTCTTTCAAAGGTACGATGTCAACCTTGCTGAGGCGAAAAGCATGGCCGCTAAGAAGGGCCTGGCTGTTGGGCTGACGACGAGTGGCTTCTGGGTAACCGTCCTCATCGACTTTGCTGTATCCTTTTGGTATGGCGTGTATCTCCTCCAGAATGAAGCCTTGGACCCCGGGGTTATACTGCCAGTACGTATATTCACATCGCCGTGGCTTGAAATGGAATCTTGGCATTTCATTGATAAGAAAGACTGTGCGCCGGTTTCGCATCACTTTCGCATTCCACAAACAAGAAGAAATCTTTTCTTCATAACCCCAATTCTTACACTACTAACTAGGCCAGATAAGCACTAAAATGTTTTGATCGATCGGAAAGTCTGATGGTAATATCGGAAAGTCTGATGGTAATATCGGAAAGTCTGATGGTAATATCGGAAAGTCTGATGGTAATATCGGAAAGTCTGATGGTAATTTACAACCATATCCAGCCTACTCTAAAGAAGAGTTCTCAATCGTTGCAGATATTAATGAACGTTATGATCGGATCAACGTCTCTGGGCATGGCCTTCCCTTACTTGGAGATCTTCTCCACTTCCTTCGGGGCTGCTGGGAAGATCTTCACCATCATAGACCATGTGCCAACTATAGACAGTTCATCGGACGAAGGGCTTCAACCGCATGTGCTGGGAGACATAGAGTTCCGGGATGTGGGTTTCACATACCCCATGAGGCCAGACACTCAGGTACCTAAATAATGCAGTCATGTGTGTTCAGATGACATCGACAATTATTGGTGAATTATTTAATTCATCCCTTTCCTGAAATCGGAGTTTACTGAATATCATCAATCTAGTAGTAAAACTCACGATATTATCTCTTTTACTTTTGTATTCCAAGAGGTTATCATGTGACATTGTCAGCGTCCTTAATTGTTTGATCGGTGTTCTACAACTTTATGGATAACAACTTGTTCATTCCACAGAGCGTCGTTTCGGTGTTAGATTCTTACACAGTTTTCAAACTAAAAACAATAGTTTGTTATCCATAAGGCTGTATGATTTATTAACCTTCACAGTGATCTCGTTTAACCTAAAAAACCCTCATCCAATATTGACTGATACTATATCATTCAGTTGGATGATGTATCGTCACACAACGCACAAACAAGCTAATATATAAATGACAATTCATTAAAAATTATCAGAAACCACATGTGTCGATTTTATTGAAAACAACAAAATGTCATCCATAGTCAAATATTGACTTATTTGTTCCCTGTTACACAGATTCTCAATGGATTTAACCTGAAGGTACCCAAGGGAAAGGTAGTCGCTCTTGTTGGGCCAAGTGGGTGTGGCAAGAGCACGACCATTCAGCTGCTGCAGCGCTTTTACGACCCTAAGGATGGCCAGGTGACACCCTTACCAATATCCATAACTTAACAAGCACACTGAGCACCGTTTGTAACGCCGACGGATACAACAGACTGGTTTCGGGTTCAGGCCAGTTGCTGTATATTTTAGGCAAAATACAAATGCGATTATAACAAACTAACATTAGTGGTTTCGGTGAGTTAGTTCTAACTGCATACTATTACTATACACATATTAATGTGATCTATTCAGTATGAATATATCTTCTTCGTGGAAAAGTGTATCGTGTACGTAGATGAAAGTATCTTCGGCATAAATGAAGTATCTTATGTGTAGATGAAGCATTGTCTACGTAGATGAAGTATCTCCAGCGTAGAAGAAGTGTTTTCTGTGAAGATGAAGTATATTCTACGTAGATGAACGTATCTTGGGCGTAAATGAAGTATCTTGGGCGTAGATGACGTATCTTCGGCGTAGAAGAAGCATATTCGGCGTAGATGAACGTATTTTCTACGTAGATGAAGTATATTCGTCGTAGTTGAATGTGCCTTCTACATGTATGAAGTATCTTCTGCGTAGATGCAGTATCTTCTGCGGAGATGAAGTATCTTCTACGTAGATGAACGAATCTTTGGCTTAGACGAAGTATCTTCAGCGTAAATGTAGTTACTGTATCTTCTGCGTAGATGAAGTATCTTCTACGTATATGAAGTATCTTCAGCGTAATTGAAGTATCTTCTGCGTAGATGAAGCATCTTCGGCGTAGAAGAAGCATATTCGGCGTAGATGAACGTATTTTCTACGTAGATGGGGTATGTTCTACGTAGATGAAGTATCTTTAGCGTAAATGAAGTTACTGTATCTTCTGCATAGATGAAGTATCTTCTACGTACATGAACGTATCTTTGGCTACTATCACGGTGACAACAGAAATTGGTTTTCGGCGTTATGAGCGAACGCTTTAACCACTAGGCTACCCCACGGCCTCTCACCTGCGAAGAGTTACGTATTATCTACGAAGTAACTGGTTCAAACTGTGGCATGGATACACATCTCTGCTATACGCATCACTACTTCCTGGATAGAACTTGCAAGAGGCGAGAAACGGGATCGATTGGTTGACACATATCCCAATTTCGTAGATCGATACTCATGCTGTTGATCACTATATTGTCTGATCAGTGCTGTCCGCCTGAGAGGATATGTAAGTCCATGTCTCTCGCGGTATGCTTGTATCTACCAGTGTTTTAATCGAAGTATATTTGATCTTCTAAATGACGGATAAATCCGAGTACAATCGCCAGTATCAGAAGGGATGGTGTATATCCAGCTCGGGTCAATCTAGGTAGCATATGTACAGTAATAATCATGGTGCTTAGTATGGTGATCTACCTTCAGTTGTTGGCGATCTATAGCCCATTTTACATTGCATTGTGCAAAATAGTTTTCTACTTTTTAAGATATATGTTAGCTAGTTTTACTTTTTTCTGTGATAGTCTTTTACTGTACTTTGCCGACAGATTTTATCATGAAACTTTTCAATGTATAACTTGTTTCAGTCACGATATGGCTGAAATACTGCCGATGTAACTTAAAACCTTATCTTAACTCACTCACTCTGATCCAGACTCGATTATTTACAGACCACCGCCATATAGCTGGAATATTGTTTGCGTGTGGCTTTAAACTACAAACAAGACTTAGTACGATACAATGTATTCAGTTGATAATTCATGCCCGCTTGTGCCTAGATTCTGCTCGATGGCGTTGACGTCCGGAACCTCAATATTGGCTGGCTACGTCAACACATCGGCATTGTGAGTCAAGAACCCGTGCTGTTTGCAACCACTATTGCTGACAACATCCGCTACGGCAACGTGGGCATTGACAGGGCTGGCATAGAGAAGGCGGCCCGAGAAGCCAACGCTCACGACTTTATCGCAGAGTTACCGCAGGTAGACATTGATTGTTTTTGAAAACACAGAATTACAACTGTTATCTTAACCTATCGTAACCACAAATATGAAAACCAACATGATACCCATATCACATATATATTTTTACATCATTTCTTGTCTGTTTCAATTTCTGTCACCATTTAACACGAGTGTATGGTTTCTTTTCCAAGAACTTCAATTATCAAGAACTAGATTATAGAAGCAGTTTACTATTACAGCACAAATGTGTGAAATTAAATGTTCAAAATTCTCAAAAGAAGTAATACGATTTAAAATGTCCAGGGGTATGACACTATTGTTGGAGACCAAGGGGGACAACTCTCAGGTGGACAGAAACAACGGGTAGCAATTGCTCGGGCTTTGGTTCGTAACCCCAAGATTCTGCTGCTGGATGAGGCAACCTCCGCCCTGGACCACGAGAGCGAAGCCATTGTGCAGAGGGCCCTTGAGCAGGTGCGTGTCTTGTACATATAATGACGATGGTGCTGGTGTGTATGGCAGTCGAGATCTGACCTAGGAGCAAAGGGATGCAGATTAACGCAACTGAGGCTACGTAGAAGGTTGGTCAAACACATGAGGGGTTAATACAACTTCATATGCGTCGAAAGCACAAGATCAAACGGGAGCTTAAATTATTAAAAATTATAGGCATGAAACAGCTCTCCAGAGCAAGTGTGACCTTACTACAACTAGAGTTACGATGAAGAACAATTCAGAGAAGGTTAGTGTTTACTAAATGTATCAAGTATTTATGGAGACAGCTGACAAACACTGAGTTTATAGATTCAATTTAAGTCATTACACAGAGCGCTCAAGAGAAGTACATGAGGGCTTACTGCAGTTTAGGTCTTGACACAGTTTCAGCAAGTCCAAGGTGTATGATACATGCATGTGCAACGTAACACAAGGTTTTCCAGAAGTTACATGAATTTTCACTTTCATCACAACACTGGCCAGAAGTAAGATCGACACGTCCACAGAGAGTGCTACAATGTTTCTGAATTCGATGTCAGTGAAAATGCCACGTCGTGACGACATCTCAACTTTTAAATACTGGGTTCTGTAATACTGGAATATTGCTAAAAGCGGTGTAAAACCGTACTCACTCACTGGGTGTAGCAAAGTCTATATGGAGATTTGACGGTCACCACACTGACAAATGAATTATATCAATGGTATGGCAATGCTGGTGGAAATAGAATGGAATTGAAATATGTATTGGTAACATAATATTTTATGTTGTTTGCTTGACGATGGTTAGCAGCCAGACGTTGTAACGTTAGAACGCTCTAATCAGAACACGATCAAAAGGCAATGTAGATACAGTAATACTTAGCGTTTTTACTTGATTTGTGAAAATTGCCGTTCGTCATTCCCACAGGTTAAACTAATTGGGAAAAAGCGATGTGTCTTTTGTTTTATACAAATACGCAGTATAAATTACTACACTCATTTCTTATATGTATTAATAATGTGTAACAATCCTACATATGTATGCGTGTTCCCGTTTCAGGCCGAACGAGGGCGCACAACAATTGTTATAGCTCACCGTCTGTCGACCGTCAAAAACGCTGACGTAATAGCGTCCATCAGTCATGGTCAGGTGGTAGAACAAGGAACTCATGATCAACTCATCGCAAATGGCGGACTGTATTCCCGACTAGTGGCACTGCAAGTACGTTTCCTTGACAACACGATTTATAAAATGACGTCAGTTTTGTTGTTTAACTCAGCACTCAGAAATATTCCAGCTCTATGGCGGAGGTCTAGACCATACAATCTGGTGATCAACATCTTAGGATCTATCTTCGCAATTGGGATACGATTGGGTGCTGACGACCAATTCCAAACCGGATCTTCACGGGTCCCTGAATCAGGATATATGCAGCCATCATAATAAAAATATACTCTCCCAAAAAGAAACGCATCATGAAAATAGCAAGTTCATGTAGCAATGAATTAAAACGTGATTCATTTTACAAAAGGTTTTGCTCTGTTTATGTCCTATGGTGTTTATGTTTTGAAACATCACAACAAAACGCACCATCCGTTAAATACCCGTATTTAACAGCATGATTTTCAATTTCGGCGTGTAGTGTCACAGAATACACAATTCACATGCAATGCACGTGAAAGTTCGGGATCAGATAGTCTCAATGATGGGTATAGAAGGTTGATCGCTGTCTGTCGATTATTCACTGTATTTGAAATATTGTTGACGAACGCAAAATGGCACGTCTAAGTGAAGCCAACCGTCATATCGCCATTGGTTTGCTTGAAGCTGGCCAGTCTCAACGTGCAGTTGCCCGACGCTTGAATGTTCACCAAAGCACCATTTCACGGCTCTGGGAGAGATATCGCCGGCAGAATGCGGTAGCAGATGCCCCTCGCAGTGGGCGACCTCGAGCGACCACTGCGGCGCGGGATCGCTACATCTGGGAACATCACCTGCGTCATCGAACAGCTACGGCGACCAGTACCGCTCGACAAATACCCGGATTGAGGAGGATTTCTGCGTCAGGAACAGGTTCAGAGAGGCTGGTTTACGTGCCAGAAGATCTTATTTTGGTCCTGTGCTTCGAAAACAGCATCGTCGACATCGTGTTCAATGGTGCACCAACGTTCAGGCCTGGAACCTACCGAATTGGCGTAGAATGTGGTTCAGTGATGAATCACGATTTCTATTGGAACGACGACATGGACAAATGCGGGTGTACAGACGTCGACGTGAACGTTTCGACGACGCTTGCGTTCCCCAGGTGGACAGATTCGGCCGGGGTAGTGTTATGATGTGGGGAGCGATCACAGTCCGTAGGAGAAGTGATTTGGTGATTATCCAGGGCAACCTGACAGCTCAACGGTACTGTGACGAAATCCTACGCCAACACCTCCTTCCAATCATTGATCGCCAGAGGGAGTTGTTTCAACAGGACAATGCCAGGCCCCACACAGCACGTCACACTAGAGACTTCGTCAAGAACCACAACATCAATGTGCTCCCCTTGCCCTCAAGATCACCGGACTTCAATCCAATCGAACATCCGTGGGATGCCCTGGACAGACGGGTGGGACGCCGTAACCCTCAGCCCCAGACACTTTAGCAACTCGCACAGGCACTACAGGCAGAGTGGGCTGCGATTGGGATTACGAGATTCTGAGACTTATTCGTTCGATGCCGAGGCGACGCTGTGCAGTTCTGGATTCCGACGGTGGTCACACGAGGTATTGACTTCAGCGCCACCACACGTCTCCATGTGACACACAAACTGACTTTACTCGAGTTGGTGCCAAAGACGGATAAGTCTGCATTCCCAGTGTGCAATTTCGCTATATTTCATTGACTCATAAAGCTAACAAGATGTTTTAAAACCCCATAAAAATACAGTTGAAATTCCTATATGCGTTTCTTTTTGGGAGAGTATATAATGAAGAAACAATTAAGCGACTTCGTAGGTCATAGAAAGAATAAAGTTGAAGAATATCATTCATCATATCACACGAACATCATTGTTAATTGAAGATAACTTTGTTTACAGGCGAACACGGCAGAGTCTGCAGATGAGGGTACGTAGTGCAAAATGTGTAAAGTGAGTGAGTTTGGTGCTCATGTATTTCAGAAAGAGCAATGATTGTCAGGCTCTGGTTAAAGACTTGATGTAGCCTAAGTCATTCACCACTTTGCTCGAACCAAGGAGCATGGTGCTGAATAACATAGAAACAATGTCAGGGGATTTTTAACCAGTATCACGGAAATTAGCACACATACTCACATCGCATTGCGGCGTTGATAGCTGAAGACTATGGGGCCAAAACGGATGAAATAATGTACTTGACAGTGCATACAAACTGTTATGGCCAGGGGTCAGTAGACATTGTGATTTTACCAAACCATGTTAGTAATTGACTGTTTCGAATGAGTTACCGACGTTCAAGCCGCCCGGCTAAGGTTGCACCCTCCAGCTATTTGGCAATCTGATGGTCGCATGTTTGATCACCCGACCCGAAGATTAATAGTGAAGCTAATTATGTTATTATTTAGTATCATTTGTATGATGACAAAGCGGTGTTAAGGTACAGATGATACCTCGTTGAACACTGTAAACATGGCAAGAAACGGTAGTTTCTCATGAAGGCTGTGCTCTCACACCAAAATTCTCCAACTGTGTTACAGATATCGTTGATGTTGACATCGTGGATGATTCTGATGAGAATGATGAGGAAGATCCCATCCTAGATCCTACCTTTGAGAGGACGTTGTCCAATAGGAAAGGCCATCTCCGTGTCAGACTGAGATCTGGCTCTGGACGCAAAAGGAAAAGCACTGAAACGGAAGAGGATGCAGAGACAGTTGAGGTATGCATTCGTTCTGGAACGGTTCTCCCTCAGCATTGGCCCGGAACCCTTCCTTCAAACAATCGTCACGAGTAGCGTGCTGAGGGCATGGACGTGGCGAGGGGGAATCAAGGTAGCCCTTTTAGGGGATTCGGGTTGAAGATATCAAGCAATGACCAATTCGAGTTGATGACAAAACAACGGTGGTTGTCCATGGCTGCAGATATATTTAGTTGACTAAATCTATTTAACTTAATAGTGATCTTTGTGCACGTGCATCATTCTAAAATCCTATGTGTGTCTTCGAGGACGTGGGATAGCTCATTGGCGTAGATCAATGCTGTTAATATCAATCACTTGCTTGTCTACTTCCATTATTTGCACACCGTTTATCGGAGTGTGGCATTGTACAAGGTCGACGTAGTCACACTTGCCACATACTGACCTGAACCCTTAATGATGACGCTGATTTTATATTATTTTAAAATCACCCCTCACACATACTATTGGCAGTCATGATCGAATAGTCCCACTCATTACTGAATTTCATATTATCATAATGATAAAAAGACACATATTTGCAGGAAGATGAGTCCATTCCAACAGTTAGTTTCAAGAGGATTCTTCGTCTCAACGCTCCGGAATGGCTATTCCTGCTGTTTGGCAGCCTTGGTGCCATTGTGTCTGGACTGATGATGCCACTGTTTGCCTTTTTGATCTCAGAGTTTATTCGAGTAAGATATAAGTTTAACACTTCCTTTTCTCCTGATGAGAGTCGGTTTTGTACTGCAATGGTACTCGCTACAGCTACACAATCTGTTTTCGTGTTCACGTAGATCTTTGGAAAGAGAGATTCTCCCAAAGAACAGATGCGAGAGACCATCATCATCAGTTGTGTAATGGGTGCTTTAGGATTCATCAACGCTATCGCCAAATTGTTGCAGGTGAGTACCTCTACACCTTCCCAGAACTACTATATAGAAAATCATGGACTACTTCCGTCCGTGTGTGCAATTCGGAAAACATTCAATCTTTCTTCACCAATTTTGGCATGTAGATAGGTCTGGTGGTAGACTGGTGCCTTTTGGTTGTTTTGGATTTCTGAATAAAATATTTTTGCGTTTCCATGGCAAAACGTTTGACTTTGACCGTAACACAGCCAGTTCATCTCAGGACAGCAACCAATATCAGCATGATGCCGAGGTTTTGGGCGTAACGCTTTAACCACCAGGGTCAACCCAAAGGCTCTGGGGTAGCAAAAGATAATATTAGGTCTGTTGTCTCACGGGCACAATTGTAGGAATAGGTTTGGGAGAAGCATAGGGTATGATGAATACAGAATGCCATTTAGAAAATGTTACACATGTTATATTTCGAATTACAATTTCTCAGTAATGTGCAGGTTCTAGCACACTTGTTGGGTTGAGTCCCATGCGGAATTCGGAACCACACCCTCACATTCATGGTAATTTGGACAGTGTCGAAAAGCAATATGACGTAACCCGTAAAGTCTACGTTTTCGTCGCAGGGTAGGTTCTTCTCTGTCATGTATGAAAAGGGTTGTTGTAACGATGTAACATGTGTGGCGCTATTTTCAGGCATACTGCTTCTCTAAGTCTGGCGCTGCCCTAACTGCCCGTGTTCGAAGTGTGGCCTTTGCGTCCATAGTGTACCAGGTAGGACACCAAGCTTACGGTGTCATTGTATTGTGGATGGTGGGTAGCATCATGCCTGCGCTTGTTTCAGAGCTACACCATGTGTGATACCAATCATGCGTGAGGTCCTCTTCAAGTAATATTCCTCATTAATTTTATTACCCATGCTGGTGCATTACCAAAACCCAAACAAATGATTACTTCTCCTGATGGGAAACGCTGACGGTATATAACCGAATTCACTCACTTACTCACTTAATAGTGACATTATATTTGACCGAAACGTTGTACATAGGGTAGCATTCACTCTCGGTATTTCGAATTCATTAGCTTTCTAAAATATTCACCATACACTGTTACAGAAGACATGTCTTACACACACATGCGTTTTGTCGAGGCGTGCAGTGAGAGCTGTTAATTACTAGCTGACGGTGACCCGCGAAGATCCGGTTAGAATTGATCTCAGTAACCCATGCTTGTTGTAAGTGGCGACTAACGAGATCGGGTGGTCAGGCTCGCTGACTTGGTTGACACGTGTCATCATATCCCAATTGCTTAGTTCGAGATCATGCTGTTGACCACTGGCTTCTCTGGTCCACAGTCTAATATTTACATTCCGCCGCCATATAGCTGGGATATTGCTGAGTGCGGCGTAAAACAAAACTCATTTACTCACAACAACTTGAAGGTGGATTTTGACGTTGACGTACGTGGCGTCCGTATTGTGTTCAAAAAGGATAAGGTCAGGGGCGAGTAATGCATGCACTGTGTTTTTAGATTACATATCAAACAGCAATTCAGCATCATAATTGATAACTGTTTTATCGTTTCCAAACAGGACATGAACTTTTTTCGATAACCAGAAGAATCAAGTAGGTTATCTTACGACGCGACTAGCGTCAGACGCACAGGTTCTTCAGTCGGTGAGTGGAGTTTCTTATGATGTATCAACATGACTGTAAAACGTCTGTAAACACTATAATTGTATTGATACTGGCTCGTGGGAACTTTTTTGGGGTACATGTTTGTTTAGCTACTTCCCATTCCTGCATACCGTGGGGCAGTGGGTAGCAGAGTGGTTAAAGCTTTCGCCAGGCTTGCTGACTTAGTATACATCATCGTATCCAAATTGTGTACATTGATGTTCACGCTGGTGAACACTGAATGACCTGGTTCAGGCTCCGTTATTTACAAACCTCCGCCATGTGCTTGAACGTTTCTTTACTCACGCTACACTAAAGGGTTCGATTCCTGGATTCCTTGACATATTTCAACTCCACTCCTCTGCGGTGGGAATACACAATCCATCCGAGATTCGAACCCATACCCTCAGAGTCATCGCCAGCACACAAAGTCAGCCATCTAACCAACTCATACACCGCGACGTCCACAAAAATGGAAGTCGGACAACTGGTAGTCTAGACTGAGGACTTTTGTTGACCCCTCTGACAGGTGTAAATTGGCACGACTCCCACGGCCGAAGCTATGATTACACAATGCCATTTAGAAAGAAACAGCAGTATGAATACACAATCCAAATTGGGGACTCAACCAAACAAAGTACTGATTCTGTACTTTACTGAGAAAATGTAATCTCAATATATTTCTCTGCGCTTGTATCGCTTGAAAAGCGGCATAAGTCCTAATCACTAACCCTCTGTTGCACTGGCGAACACACTTGTCGTCTTATAGTTCTGTTTCTTCGCCAGGCTATATCTCAGATCGGGTTCATCCTGGAAGCTCTGGGAACACTGAGTGCTGCCCTGCTCATTGCCTTCATATATGGCTGGAAGCTGGCTCTTACTATTCTTTGTTTTATGCCCATAATGGCTGGAGCCGGCATCATTCAAGGACGGGTATTTAAGGGATTCTCCAAAGCTGACAAGGACTCTGTACAGCAGGCTGGAAGGGTAAGGACATGACACTTTCGAGACGTTTCTCTTGTATAAAATTGAAACCCTTTGTTGAACAGGTGAATGGTAACAGGTACTGGGAGATGTGAGGACTTTCCGACATTTGGTGCAGTGGTGGTGCAATATATATGCTCGCCTGTTAGAGAACACCGGGTGTCATCACTATTTGATAGTGATTCAGAAAAACGTGAAACAAAATGTTTGGTTCCAGAGAAACAAATGTATATCTTGAAGTTGTGACGGAAATATATAATATTCTCAGACATGCATCCAAATTAAAAAATTTACTGTACAGATAATAGCTGTTCACTGTTGTATATGATTGTGTTCCAGATCTGTTCTGAAACGACTGCCAACATTCGCACTGTAGCATCGCTTAACACTGAGAAAGTCTTTGTCGACAAATATGAGGACATTATTACCAAAATATGCAAGTAGGTGCAATTTGTTACATTACATGACACCGTATTATCAATGTCCTTATGTAGCACAAATTATTTATTAAAACGACAAGTATTTGGAGTGGCAGGAGAAACCTTTTGCTCTGCTCTTTTGCTCAATTGTTTGATCAGCATTCTAGAAGTTGGTGAGTCAACAAATGAAATATACAACTATATGGATGACAATTTCTGGTTTATTTGCGTTGAGCGACGTTTCGATGTAGATTCTTACATCGTTATCAAGCTAAAAGTCATTTTAGCTTGGTAACGATGTAGGAATCTATCATTTTAGCTTGATAACGATATAAGAATCTACATCAAAACCTCGCTCAATGCAATTAAACCAGGAGTTGACATCCATAAAGTTGTATGTTTCATTTGTTGACTCACCAACGTCTAGAATGCTGACCAAACAATTGATCGAAACGTCGCTCAACGCAAATAAACCAGAAGTTGTCATCCATAAAGTTGTATGGTTCTTTTGCTCAAGTTTTCGATGCAGGAATTTAAACGGTTTAAACGGTTAAAATAATCGATAATATTTTCTTAACCGTTGACTTTATGAAGCGTGGTTGTTTTGGGGTTTCTGTTGTATTCTGTTTCGTTGTTTCTTGTATTCGTATTTCCTCATGTCACCTTGTCAAGACCAGACATGTCATTGGTTCCCTATTGCGCAGATCGATTCTCATGCTGTTGATCACTGGATTGTCTGGTCCAGGCTCGATTATTTACAGACCGCCGCCATATAGTGGGACTATTGCTGAGTGCGACGTAAAACTAATCTCACTCACTCACTCAAGACCAGACAAGCCTGTGATCGATACTGAGATTATCGCCGAACATAACAGGGTACAAAGAGATCATTATTGCAATCAAACTGACCAGCCAGTATATTAAGTCACAGTCTACCAAATAATTTGTAAACAAGGTAGTTTATTGGGGATAAATGACCATTCAATTTATGTACAATGTTTCGTTTTTCTTCTAGTGCTGGCGTGAAGAGGTCCCACATCCGAGGCTGTGCCTACGGGTTCTCTCAGTGCATTTTATTTTTCGCTTATGCAGCAGCATTTTCGTATGGATCGTATCTGGTACAGACTGGGGAAATGCAGTTTTTCGAAGTATTCAGGTAGGAATGAACAATCTATTGGCCAGTTTTGAGTATGTACAGACCATCCACATAACCTGTGACAGTTTTAGACGTCTTGTCTTCTTCGGTTTAATTCCCCAAATGATTTCCTTTCTGGCGCTGCTGTCTTGGTACGGATAGATGTTTCATTCACATCGCTCTATATTTACAGGATCACACGTTTCATGTTATGAAAACATATTCAGACTGGGCAGGCTGTACCTCGGTGCGCCAATGTTTTCTATGCCAATATTATGTTTGCAGAGTCTTCGCCCCAATTGTGTTTGGGGGCCAGCAGAGTGGAAGAGCTACTTCTTCCTCTAACGATTATGCTAAAGGGAAGATGGCGGCTGGTCGTCTGTTTGCAGTCATTGATAGGCAGCCGGAGATAAGCACAGAAACTTCGAAAGGAAAGACACTTGTAAGATGATTTTCACGCTCTGACACACAAGCAGATATAAAACAGCAGTGGTTCAAACTGTACAGAATAATGTGTGAAATGAAAACACAGCATTAAGCATTTCACAGACTTTTCGCAGCATTTGATGATGACCTTGTAGATAAATGGAGTATCTCGCCCTCATGTCTTCTGATATCAAACATATCACCACGAGTTGATAAAGTTACAAATTTGTACTTTTATCAACGAGTGTTGATATATTTGATATCCGAAGACATGAGGGTGAGATTCCATGTACCATCAAAAATCATTCTTCATTAGTTTTCAGTGAAAAATGTACATCTCTGAAAACTGTACTACCATTTGACTTGCAGTGCATCGATGTCATAGCATTGTGACATCATCAAGTTCATGATGTCATAGTATTGTCAGGGCATTGTACAAAATCTGCTGTCGAAACGATATCTCCTAGGAGATGCAAGCAATATCTCCCGTGGAACACAGTTTTGGATGCTAAAGTATATTATCGTATCAACTCAGCAAGCCAAGCGTCCCTTATGTGATGGCAAATCTCTGGAACTGGTAACGTACAACTTCGCTTGAACTGTCAACCAGAAACCCATCTCCAATAGGTTCCACCGAAATAGTAACCTATGCTTGTCATAAGAGGCGACTAACGGGATCGGGTAGTCAGGGTCGCTGACTTGATTGACACATGTCATGGTAACCCAATCGTGTAGATCGATGTTCATGCGATTGATCACTGGATTGTCTCGTCCAGACTCGATTATTTACAGACCGCCGTCATATAGCTGGGATACTGCTGAGTGGGGCGTTAAACAACAAACCAACAAAACATAGGTTAATATGTCTGTTTGTTTGTACGTCATCAATGATCCGCTTCAAACCAATACGACATTTCGTTTGTGTAGGATCACTACAGTGGGGCAATCACTTTAACCAACGTACACTTCCGCTACAAATCTCGGCCGAACGTGACTGTCCTGAAAGGCCTGAGTTTCGACGTCCAGCCCGGAGAGACTCTAGCCCTGGTGGGCAGCAGTGGCTGTGGCAAGAGCACTACCATACAACTCATCGAGCGCTTCTATAACACAGAAAAGGGAGCGATGGTCAGTTGGGGAGGAGGGTGTTTGATGTGGGCTGTCGTTGATATAGCAGAGCTGTAACCGATTTAGGAATAAGGGTGTTAATACTGTTAGTGCGTTAGTGAAGATCACTATGGAGTGGCAGCTGGGTGTGAGATAATAAACTGCAATAATTAAATGCCCATTGTTTCCTGCATTCTTTTTAGTTGCACTGGTCACGTGTTATTGCATTTATTCAACAACAATGTTAACAATTAAGCCACCTTTTGGCGACATATATGCATACGCATTGTGACGTCACGGGCAGAGTTAACAGTTACTGTACTTTAGTTCTACCTGATAATGGGGCTAGAACAAGCCCTGAAACGTTGTATCAAACAATAAAGAGAAGATGAAACCCAGAAAAGTCTATATGTTCGGCATATATGCATATTCAGGATCGTCCACATCACTCTTCGCTTGATAGTTTCAGGATCTGAAGGCTTGCTTACCAGTTTTTCCTGATCACCTGGCTTACAATGCTTCATTTAGTTCTGAATCATTTCTCCAATTATGTCTATCCATCCTCAGCAACAACAGTTCAAACAGCTGCTTTCTCTTGGTTTATTTGTTCCGGTTCCTTACGGTTTCACGTTTCGTTAGTTTTCTCTTGCCTTGATTCAGACGTTACGAACTTCATTTTGATACTCTCCTTACTACTGAATTCCTGTCCCGTTATGTACATAGATATCGTCTTTGAGTGGCATTTTAGAAGTTGGGACGAACAATATTGAACAAAGTTTTGGATAACAGTTATGAGTTCAACAGTATATTAGCGTCGTCAGATCATACGTGGGCTGGGCATACATCGCACAACCATCCACAATTTGAGGTAAGTAAATGGTACGAATGTAGTTGAGATATTGAGCAGTAAATGTATTTAACAGTTGTAACAGGGGTAACGTTTCGTGTTATTTTTTCAGATGGCAGACAAATCCCCGATCACCAGTCTAGAACTCAAGTGGTGGCGATCACAGTTAGCCCTTGTATCACAGGAACCTATTCTTTTCGACTGCAGCATAGCAGAGAACATCGCCTATGGTGACAACTCCCGTATTGTGTCTATGGACGAGATTATAGCAGCAGCCAGAATGTCAAACATCCATTCCTTTATTGCATCTTTACCTCTGGTACGTTGATGTCGGAAAAATCAGAGATCAGTTTTATTAACTTGTGCTCTGAATTATTTTCACGTCAAACGTCTACTTTCTATATGTCAGGATGCATTCTGATAATCACAGAAGGGACTCTCTCGATATTTCGACATTGCATACCTGGAGGGTCCGATATATAGATATATGTGGGAGGACAAACATGCCATGTAGTGAGTGAGTGAGTTATTATTTAACGTCACATCGACAATATTTCAGCCATATCGTGACGAGAACAGTTGACAATGAAATAGAATATATATAGATATTATGAAAACCTGCCGACGAAGGACAGTAAAACAACTAGAATATCACAGATATACATGTAAAACTAGTAATTAAATCTAAAACTTATTAACGATAGGGTGACAACACAATATAAAAATAAGCTATAGATCACCAACAACTGAAGATAGATGCCATGTAGTTATTTACATATTCATGTTAAAAATCACGCTAACTTTGTTTCAGGCGTATGACACTAACGTTGGAAGCAAAGGTACGCAACTCTCTGGTGGACAGAAACAAAGGGTAGCCATTGCTCGGGCTCTTGTCCGGAACCCCAAGGTGCTTCTTTTGGACGAAGCTACATCTGCCCTGGACACTGAGAGCGAGAAGGTGAGCGGGTCTGGTGAATTTTGACATTTAAAAAAAAGAAGAAAACAGTATTTTTGAAACATATTCCCTTAAATGATTATTTGTCGGACATTCTACTTAGTCGAGATATATATTAACTCCGTACTCAGCTATAAGACTACAACTCTACATAGTCATGGGTTGGCCCAAGTTTCTTTAATGCTTCAGTTGTTTGTGTCAGGATCCTGTGATCCACAATGATTACGATCCTTGTTTTGTCTACACATATTCATAATCGTGTGTCTTCCACATTTCTTTGATATATTTTTCGAAATATGAATTAAAGGGATGGGTAACCTTTCAAGCAATAGCAAATCATTAATACATCCACACTGAAGCATGTAATGTCAAACAATGTCACACGTGTTAAATTAAACCACTAGTCCTTTCTGTGTATTCATTCGGTATTTTGTTGTTCAAATTAGGTTGTCCAGGAGGCATTGGACAGGGCACGAGCAGGTCGGACTTGCATTGTCATCGCCCACAGACTGTCCACTGTCCAGAATGCGGACAAGATCGCGGTCGTGAAACAAGGGGAGATAATCGAAGTGGGAACACACAGAGATCTGTTAGCTGTGAAAGGAGCATATTACAATCTTGTCCAGGCTCAAAATAGGAAGAAGAAAGATTCAGAGTGACGTCGTGTACAGATCCGGAGGTTACATTGGCGTTCCCGACAATGACAATCCACGCCATCGACCACCATCTCACTTCACCAGGATGTGGGGACACAGCGACCAAACCATTATTCACAAACTCACTCTCTACATGGACGTTCAATGACAATACTTCTCTTTCAGAGTTTATTGAGCTAATTGTCTCAATCAATCCTTCAGTTTGTTAATCATTTGTTATTCAGGCATATGTCATGTACGTTGAAGAGAACGGATCAAACACAAACGCCTTACATTATGTCACAATACTTGGAACATTTTTCTGAAATGTGTTTGGAACGTTTTGGCAAACGAACATGGAAATTATGTGTAAAGTATTAATAAGTAGGCGGTGTGTGGTCCTGTGCGTAGAGCTCAGGTCACAATCAGTTGAAGTTAAGCAACGTTGGTCGCGGACAGTCCTCGGATGGGTGACCGTGTTTGGCAGCTTGACTCCTGAAAGTTTCTAGGACTTAAGTCCTGCCCCACAACGAAGCGCATGTGACGCATGTGGTCTCACCTTAGGCAAGTGAGTTTGTTCAAAATTGCCTCTGTCCACCCAGCAGTAAAATTGGGTACCTAGTATGATACGATGGTAGTCTGAATTTGAACCTTGAGCGCCTGACAGGCGAACGGTTGTATTCTCAACATGGAGTGTTCTGTACTCGTTGACCAGGGGTAATATGTCAGCGCTTTGAGCATGCAATGTGCATGGATAAACGCGCAATAAAAATGGACTATTATTATTATTATTAAGTACAATATTTTTCTTTTGTTCCGGACACCTGGTATGCATGCTATTGCATGCGTATGCACATTATTCAGAGGACCCTGTTTCTGTTCCTTTTGCAATAACTCACATTTCGTTAATGCTCGTTTATCATCCTGGGTTTGAATAGGCACCAATGCTAGTTTTTCGAGAAACGCGCACAATATACATCTTCAGCCTTATCGAACAGAGAGAATGGCCACACTGTAAATAGACAATCTGTACAAGGTATTCTGTAATCGAATTCAGTCCTAAGTAGACGTCTTCGTGTTACAACTGTTACCTATATATACAATACAAGCAATACTATAGCAGACATCAAGAATAACATTAACATTGTTTCAGTTGAAGGCATCACTGTCGTGACTTCCATGTTAGTAATCTTATGGACGTGTATGTTTACTCACGCACATACACTCAAGGCCAAAAGAAAGTGGCCCGTGCTAAAAATCTTAATAAAAATCAACACAGACAAAAACTTGATTTCATATATATTTATGTTGATAGTAAGGCCACTTGCTAAACATACGGAGGTTATTACAACGTCAAACATGAAGTAATGTTTAAGCAACATTTAATTAAATGACACTGGTATCAAAAGGCAAAGTTACATGTTTTCAGTTGTCTTGAACAATATATGTAAACTCCAGATTAAAACACAAATGTCAGCGTTTAGGTGTGCATTACTTAGTATCTTGTGTGTCCTCCTTCTGCATTGATACATGCAAGTACTCGACGTCTCATTGACGTTGTGAGACGTCTGATGAAGGCATTTGGGATATTCCTCCATTCCTCATGAATGGCCTGTTCCAGTTGTCTCAGGTTTGCTGGAGGGTTTAGTCTCATTCTGATTTACCTGCCCAGAAAGTCCCAGAGATGCTCTATTGGTGAGAGGTCAGGGGAACGAGACGGCCAAGGCAAAACGTTGATGTTATTGGTTCCCACGAAATCTGTCACAATCCTAGCTGTGTGTGCAGGAGCATTGTCTTGTTGAAATAATGTCCCTTGGTGTTGATTAACGAAAGGTAACACAACTGGACGAATAACCTGGTCAATGTATTGTTGTGCTGTCAGGTTGCCTTGAACTGTGACCAATTGTGTCTTCATTTCGCCACAGATACCTCCCCAAACCATAACACTCCCGCCACCATGAGCCTGAACCTCCATAACGCATGACGGGGCATGACGTTCACCACGACGGCGATATACACGTGCTCTACCGTCGTTATGGTATAAACAAAACCTACTCTCGTCGCTGAATAGAACCCTACGCCAATCACGAAGCTGCCATCGTCGAACACGACGTGCCCAGATCAGCCTATTCAGGTGATGTTGACGTGTCAGCATTGTTCCACGGAATGGTCTGTGGGCTCGAATTCCGGCATGCTGTTGTCGTCGTCTAACTGTGTGTCTGCTGACAACTTGACCGAGTGCCGTTGATGCCGATTCCAAAACTGTCAGGAACCGATTCCTCAGATGTAGAATTCGTAGATATTGGTCTTCCTGGGGGGTAGTGACCTTTGGTCTACCTGACCTTGGTCGGTCAACAGTCCTGCCAGTCCCGTGGAAACGTTTAATAAGTCTATTGATAGTATGTCTGTGACAACCAAACGTTCTTGCGACATGGGCATGAGAAGCTCCCATGTTTATCATTCCTATGACTCTTTCACGCTGTTCTGAAGTAAGTCTAGGCATAACTAAAGTATTTTCCTGTTTCACAACGTCTGTGTTATACCAACGGTCGTTAAATGCCTCCTTTGGCTGACGTAGTGTCGCTTTTATCCTTCAAAAACGTGTATTTCACCATTTGCACAAATTTCACGATTTTTTAGCTCGAAGTCATTTTTTCCTAATGACAACATTTTTGGTGTGTTTTGGCGATTGTTAAACAAAAGAAAATAAATTTCAACAATTTTGAATAAATTTCATATATCAAAATTAAAATGGGCCACTTTCTTTTGGCCTTGAGTGTATATATGCGTATACATATTCATATACACCTATTCACACACACAAAAGACACATGCATGTGTACATTTTCGTGCATATGAACAAATATTTGCGCGCAAAAACACACACATATGCACAGTCATGGTGCCCCTATATAATGTATACTCATTCAACTCTACGGCGCAACTTACTGTACCCACAGACCATTTGATATACCCGAGCAGAATGGGAACTTCGTATCTGAGACAGAAAATATGTTCGTATAGTCAGCGTATCAGACCACTCTTGTGCATACATAATAACAAACAGATGAGTTAAAATCATACTCCCATATCAAACATTACAATCTACCTCAATAGCCTCAAATGTGTTTCACATAGTTTCCCCACATGCATGGTTTCTTTTAATGGGGAGATGTTTATACTCGTGGACTGAAGAAGGGAATGCCAACTTTTTTAAAAAGGAGACCGAACATAAAATTAGCATATCACTCTCCGTACAACAAAATCAGTAACACGCTATCGTGTGACGTCATGTGTAGGACATTACATGACTATCTGACTCATGAACATCCGGGTTCGAATGGGTCTTCAGTAACCCATGCTTGTCATAAGAGGCGACTAACGGGATAGGGTGGTAAGGCTCGCTGACATGGTTGACACATGTTATCGCATCCTAATTGCGTAGATCGATGTTCCTGCTGTTGATCACTGGCTTGTCTGGTTTAGACTCGATTATTTACCGACCGCCGGAATATAGCTGGAATAAGGCTGAGTGCTCCGTTTAAAACAACCAACCCATCAAATTGATTGCCTGGTTTGTTCACATGCCCCTGCCGAATGGCAGATACATTGCCGCAATGTGTTATCCCATTGTACATACCCTGTTTAAACATGCAAATGGTGTGAGTGATGGGTGCTGATGGTAAAACAGGGCATGGCTCGTAAATGGGGTCTTCTCTGATGTTGACCGTTCTTTATTTGCCTCTCGCGAACAAAAGGATTTGTTTCGACGGAATTTGGTCTCGAAATCTCGAGGTTTTACGCCACTTTTAGCAGTTCTCCAGCAATATCACAGCAGGGAACACAAGTCATGGGCTTCACACATTGTACTTATGTTGTGAATCGAGTTCCGTGGTTGTGTCTGGGAGGTATTACGCTTTCCTGTAAATAGACTCGCACTTCATCTTTAAACTACAATAAAGTAGCACCAAACTCCTGCATCCAGCTAAAATACCCAAAAAGCTACCTGCAATAAACAGTATTCAAACAGAAAATTGCAGTAAAAATATTTACCTGATAAAATACTTGGTTAAAATTCCACATTCAATATAATGTTCATTTAAGTTTTATGTCAGTTGGACGTATAATTCCAGTTAGAAGAAAAGAGTATTCCAAATTAGGATTAACTATTTACTGTTGTATTGTTACCTTGAAAAGGTGAAAATTGTCCCGAGAAGACATTTTGTCTGAATTTCAGCTCTAAGACAGACCCCTGAATAAACACAATGCAATTACTTTCACCATGAAAGGGATCCAAGATGACCAGGAACTATACCTGAAGACAGCACATAAAACAAGTCACTTTTCATGAAATCTTTATGACACACACGCACACAGAAAACGTGGTTTAATGCATAATGTAAAACATCACACATGACATAGTCTGTAGGTGATCTCTGTTGTGCTAATAACACAATATCATCTGCATATAGCATCAAAGTGACATTTACACCACCAATTTCAATACCACAGTTCAGATTTTTCAACACAATTACAACTCCAAAAACACAATTATCAGCTCCTCTTCTTTCTGCCACTCCCTGCCTGGCGGTCAGGTGGATACTTCAGAAACGTTCCTAACTCTTTCTTGAAATTTGCTTCAGATGCATTCCCATCTCATTCCCTTGAGATAGGACACATTCTGAAATTTTATATTTAAATACATGAATAAGTCATATGGAAGATATATTGTCTTATATGATTCAAGTATTTGTTTAATCAATCACTTGAAAGGTTCATTTCACTGCTGTAACTTGGCATGTGAACATATGAACAGCATCAATACAAAAATATGACGAAAAGTGTAAACAATTTATATTTTCAACCGAAGGAATGGAAGTTTTCTTAAACATTTTCAAAGAAAATCCTCAATTGCAAGTTGATTATATAATTAGACTATGAATTACCGGTAGGATGAATTAGGACGATGCTTTACTGTCATATATTATTTTGCTATGGTCATGATGAAAATGCTGCACTTGGTAATTAACTTACCAGAGATGATTGAATACAACCTTGTATTCTTAAAAGAAAACTTGCCGTTTGCCCATCAACATTCATTCTTGACATCAAATTGTTTGACATTGTCCTGCAAAACAATGGAAGATTGTTGTTATTCTGTCAGATTTAGTTTTCTTTTAGAGATTCTCGAAATGATTATTTCAAATTAATAGGAGTTGAACTGATGTAGCAATTTTGCTACCAGGAGTCATAAATTGTAACAAAAGCCATTTTACATTAAATGATAAGAAAACAAATGGGTGGTGGTTCACAGGTCAAAGAACAAGTCTATTGTGGGAGGTCTCCCAACACCATTTGTTCCCAAACACAAGGAAGTATGGATCATGGAGTTCTGAAAACAATAATGAGCTCTCATAAGTATACAATATATTCTCTATTATCTACTCTCTCTCTCTCTCTTTGTCATTTGTACACCCATAAAACTCAGATAAATAACATTTTTATAATTCATAAATGTTTACACTTAATCTCTTATAGGAACGCTTAGAAAATCTCTCATATAATGAATTATGTGTGCGTATTATCTGCCACGTCATAACTATGATTCTCTGAATCATGAACAATAAAATAATGAGATTAAACTCTACATTGCCAGAAATAATCTATCATACCATGAATAATAAGACATTGAATAACATCTCTTACAGCTCCAATCTACACTCAAAAAGACGTAAATGTACTCGTAAACAAACATCGCTGGCACACGCAAATTCTTGGAAACAGTGCATCTCTGACTCTCAATTCCAAGAAATGGAAGTCCTACTCTCTATTTGACTAAAAAGGGTGACAGGTGGCCAAAACATATTGAAATGTAGGTCATACACTGAAAATAACTCTGATTTAAAACACTACAAATATACACCTTCTCTCTAATATACTCGATAGATGATCTTAACAAGGGAACATGTACATAAAATGCTGATATCTAACAACACCTGTACTTTAAATAATGGACTCTTCCAAATCTCAGTATGTTTCATTGCACACATATTAGATTGCAAATAATGAAAAACCTACCATTTGACAATAATAAAAAACATCATATTCAAATTCTACAGCTGACCAAATACCTGAAGAGTGTGTTTCCCAGCAATAAACATCTCTATATATCTATAAATGTATGACTTCTGTCCTCTCGCGTGCTATCTTGCATCCAGCTGTTTACGGCGAAAAACAATATGGCGCCAAGCAAGGGAGTGCTCATTAAACTAAACATCTCCGGGAGAAATCATTGTCAATTTTTTTTCTCTTAAATGATCAACCTTAATATATAAATGAAAATAAAGACCAACTATTATCACCAAAAGACCAAACATTATCACAAATATTCAAAACAGGTGGTAATGAAAGAGCATTATCATCTTTCTCTAAACTTTGTGGTGGATATACTGGAAACAAGTGAAATGTTAAAAACGTGTTACCTTAGCCTTGCTCCTTTTATGTGATCCACAAAATTGCTGCCACCCAGTCTTCGAAGATGAGATTTCTGCAAATTCCATTAAAATAATCTTATTTCATAATTAAATGTTCCTTACATTAAAATTACTTCTTTTGTATGTAAGATTTTTAAACTTTAAGAGACATGAATTATCATATCCCTTCCAAACAAGTGTAAGAATGAAAGTCTGTGGGTGCAGTTTTGTTAATTGTCCCATCAAAGAATCATTAGTGAAGTTACACTTTTTGTAAATAAATAAAAGTTCAAATAAATTATATACAATTTCATCCTTAACAAAGACTTTCACAAGACATTTTTAAAGTGAAAATTTTCGTTGCATTTCCTTACGCCATTCTCCACCCCTCCCCAACAATATACATATGTTGACAGGGTTCAGGGCGTGCTCAATGCATCCGAACAAATGTTCATAATAATGGGATGCAATATAAAATGTTGATTAATCCTATCCGACTTTGTATGGCTGCCCTTAGGGATCGTTCATAATGTATGGCTTTGGGGTGATGTTGATTTTTATGCACAATGAATTACACCCCACCCCCACCCAAAAAGTGTATGAGTATGTACAGAATAAGAGACGGACCACCCTGCATGTCATGTACATTATCTATGACGCCCTCTCCCCTTCCCATAATTTCTAAACATAGTGCGTTTGTACAAAAATGCTGACCCCTTAGCTCCCCTGAACAAAATGGGTGACACCCCACCCCACCCTCCAACCCTTACAATCAACACCCCCACCCGCAGCCATATATTTAATTATGAACGGTTCCTTATATTGATGTAATTCATTGATTATTTGAAAATGTATATTTGCAAAATTCAAATCAGGTGATGGGTACGAAAGGAAATCTTATTCGATTATATAATAAAATGCCAAATATGTGCATGCAAATATATTGAAAAATAACAAAACAAGTTCATGGAAATCACGGGCTTCCACTAAATTTTGAGAAACATGTACTGTGACATACCGGTAACCTTGTGAGATAAAACATGAGCCCTAATTCGGAGTTTCTTGCTACTGCTAGATTTGAACGGCATTCCTACGTTTTCATCATACATTAAGGACATACTTACCAAATAAACACCAGCATGCCGTGAAGATGGTGAAAATAGAACGATATTGCGTTGAACTTCGCCAAAGTGAAATGACAACGATCAGCTGCCTTTGCGCGCGCGATAATTGTGCGCATGTCCGGATATGGCCAAACGAGGCGATCGAAAGGTCAACATCTGGGCTTGTGTTTGAAAGAAAAAAGTCGGGAATTATACAATTTTTCACAGTTTTGTGGGAAAATATCTCCATGTCCACAATTCTTCGTCCATTTGTCCATTCATTCCTTTCCTTCATTATTATTCTTTCCTTTCCATATATGTTTTCCATACCATATTTCTTCCCTGTGTGTTTCCACCATGCCATTTCATTTGTCTGTCCTTCGTCAGTCCATTCCTTTTGTCCAGTATTTCAGGTCTAAGAATGTCCACTATTCTTTAAGTAAAGTAAGTTAGGGATTCCTGTCCACTATATTCCGTTTCCTGGGGCCTCCATGGGCCACACATTGTTCAAGTCAGACCTAGGTCTTCTTTGTGTGTTTCTTTTCCATACCATGTACTGTGTGCTGTGTTTCCTCCACTCCATTCATAAAGTTGAGTTCCACCTTTTGTGTCCATATATCATGGGGTTTCATTGTTTATGTGATCAGTGAACCTTCCTTGTTCAGTGCCTGATTCCAGGTGGTGTGTTTTGGTGTTCTTGGTCCCTGTCCATCCACCGTCATGGTCTAGGGTTGTGTGGTGTTCATTCCTCCTGGCTTGGTTCCTGGCTCAGTGTGGGATTCAGTTTCTGTGTCTTTGTTCCTTCCATCCGGGGTTGTTGACTGGTCTTCCGTTCTCTGGTTCGATTGATCCATTCTGGTCGGGTCTGGTTTCCTATGTGTGCAGTCAATGCCTGCTGGGATGTCCGTTCCTTTTTGGCTGTTCACTGTTTCTTTGTGTGTGTGTGTGGTGTCTGTCTGTCATTCTCTCCTTCCTCCACGTTGTCTCTCAGCCACTCCTCCACTGTCGGTCGTTGTCTCCTTCCTCTCTCCGTTGTCTCTCTCGATTGTCTCTTCCTGTGCTCCGTTGTCTCACTTTTCCGTCGTCCACGTTGTCTTTCTCACTCTCGTTGTCTCTCCTCCTGTCCGGGATCTGTCTGTCTGTCTGTCCTCCTTGTCCTGTCTGTCCTGCTGGTGTGATCACACACACTCTTGTGTGGTGTGGTCTGTGGGGTCCTGGGGTTCGTCATTCACTTCACCTGGTTTGTTCCGTTGGTCCATTCTGTGTGTCGGTCTGTGTGTCTGGTGGTCATGCTTCCTTGTGTTCTCTCGTTCCGTGGTCATGTGGCTGTGATTCCACCTGTGTGCTGTCCATGTGCCAGTTGTGTGGATTCCGTCTGTTCAGTTCATTCCATGTTCAGTGTTTGGTTGTGTGTGTGTGTGTGTCGTGTCAGTTTGTGTGGTCTGTCATCCATGTATGTTCATTTTGTCTGTCCTTCAGTTCGTGTCCATGTGCCTCTGTCACGTTATGTCCTCTCGTTGTCTCTCACTCACGTTGTCTCTCTCTCCGTTGTCGGTCTTCCTCCACCCTCTGTCCGTCCGTTGTCTCTCTCCTTGTCCGTTGTGTCTCTCACCTCCGTTATCTCCTTCCTGTCGTCCGTTGTCTCCTCCTGTCCGTTGTCTCTCACCTCCTCTCTCCTTCCTCCGTTGTCTCTGTGTCCGTTGTCTTCCTGTCTCCGTTGTCTCTCTCCTTCCTTCCTCCGTTGTCTCTCTGTCCTCCGTTGTCTCACTCCCTGTCGTCACGTTGTCTCTCCATTCCTCTGTGTCGTGTGTCTCACCTCCTTCTGTGTCAGTTGTCTCTCACCTCACCTCCGTTGTCTCTCTCCTCCTTGTCCGTTGTCTCACCCTCCACCTCTGTCCGTTGTCTCTCTTCCTGTCCGTCGTTGTCTCCTTCCTCCTGTCCGTCCACGTTGTCTCTCTGTCTGGGGTCCTCTCCTCTCACCCTGCTCTCGTTGTCTCTCCTCCGGGGTTATCCTCCTTTGTCTCACTCGGTCTCTCTCCTTGATCTCTGTCCTCCGTTGTCTCCTCCGTTGTCCTTCTCTCCGTCCGCGTTGTCTCACCTCCTGTCCACTCCGTTGTCTCTGGTCGTTCTCTGTCGTCGTTTCTCCTCCTTCTCCGTTGTCTGTCGTTGTCTCTTCCTCCTCTGTCACGTTGTCTCTCGCTCGTTGTCTCCTCCTCTTGCGTTGTCTCTGTCTCGTTATCTCTCTCCTCCGTTGTCTCTGTCCTTTTCCGTCGTTGTCTCGTTTCTCTCTCCATGTCTCACGTTGTCTCCTTCCTCCTCGTGTGGCTGCTCGTTGTCTCTCTCCTTCTGTTCCTCGTTGTCTGTCCTGTCGTTCCTCTGTCTCCGTTGTGTCTCCTTGTCTCAGTCCTCCTCTCTGTCTCGTTGTCTCCTCCTTCTGTCCACTCCGTTGTCTCTCACTCCTTCCTCCATCTCTCTCCTTGGTCCTCCGTTGTCTCTGTCCTCCTGTCTCCGTTGTCTCTCTGTCCGTCCACGTTGTCTCGTGTCTCGGTCGTTGTCTCTGTCCGTCCGTTGTCTCGGTTATCTCTCGTTGTCTGTCTGTCTCGTTGTCTCGTCGGGTTGTCTCTCTCCGTCCTCCGGTTGTCTCCACCTCTCGTCCTCCACGTTGTCTCTCTCCTCTGTCTCGTTGTCTCCGGTCGATCCGTAGTCTTTCTGTGGCTCCGTTCTCCAGCCACTCCTCCTCTGTCCTCGTTTGTCTCTCTCAGCCTCCTCCTCTTTGTCCTCATGTGGCTCTCCTTCCTCCGTCTCTCGTTGTCTCTCTCACCCACTCCTCCCTCTCTGTCGATCCCGCGTTGTCTCTCTCGCATCTCCCCCTCTCTGTCACTCCACGATGTCAGTCTTAAGCCATCCTCACTCTGTCTGATCACGTTTATCTCTCTCACCATCTCCTCCATCTCTGTCGATCACGTTGTATCCTCTCAGTCCTCCTCCGTCTCCTGTCGACTCCATTATCTCCCTCCCTCCTCTTGTCCAACCACTATCTCTCTCCGCTCTCTCTGATCCTTGTCTCTCTCAACCACTCCTCCACTCTGTCACTCACGTTGTCTCTCTCTCCCACCTCCTCCCCTCTCTGTCCCGACTCACGTTGTCTCTCTCCACCCTCCTCCCTCTCTGTCGCTCCACGTTATCTCTCTCACCCTCCTCCCTCTCTGTCCGATCAATGTTGCCATCTCTCTCACCCGCTCTTCCCCTCTCTGTCGTCACGTTATCTCTCTCAACCCCTCCTTCCACTCTGTCGATCACATTGTCTCTCTCACCCACTCCTCCCTCTCTGTCGCTCAAGTTATCTCTCACCACTCCCCTCCTTCTCTTTATCCCTCTCCTCCCTTCCTCTATCTCAACCACTCTCTCCCTCTCTGTCCTCTCGTTATCTCTCTCCACCCTCCTCCCTCTCTGTCGATCTCACGTTATCTCTCTCAACCCACTCCTCTCTCTCTGTCGCTCAAGTTATCTCCCTCACACCCCTCCCCTCTCTGTCACTCACGTTATCTCTCTACCCAGCTTCTCATTCTCTGTCACTCACGTTATCTCTCTCAACTTCCTCCTCCCTCTCTGTCGACTGCCACGTTGTCTCTATCCCACCCTCCCTTTTCCGTCGATCTCAAGTTATCTTTCTCTCACCACTCCACCCACATCCCCCCCTCTATGACTCATTGTCTCTCTCAACCCACTCCTCCCTCTCTGTCACTCACGTTGTCTCTCTCAACCACTCCTCCCTCTTTGTCACTCATGTTGGCTCTCTCAACAACTCCTCCCTCTCCGTCACTCACGTTATCTCTCTCAACCACTCCTCCTCTCTGTCGATCACGCTATCTCTCTCACCCACTCCTCCCTCTCTGTCGCTCAAGTTATCTCTCTCAACCACTCCTCACTCTCTGTCACTCACGTTATCTCTCTCACCCACTCCTCCCTCTCTGTCACTCACGTTATCTCTCTCAACCACTCCTCCGTCTCTGTCACTCACGTTATCTCTCTCAACCACTCCTCCTCTCTGTCGATCACGTTATCTCTCTCAACCACTCCTCCCTCTCTGTCACTCACGTTATCTCTCTCAACCACTCCTCCTCTCTGTCGATCACGTTATCTCTCTCACCCACTCCTCCCTCTCTGTCGCTCAAGTTATCTCTCTCACCCACTCCCCCTCTCTGTCACTCACGTTATCTCTCTCAACACCTCCTTCCACTCTGTCGCTCACGTTATCTCTCTCACCCACTCCTCCCTCTCTGTCACTCACGTTATCTATCTGAACCACTCCCCCTCTCTGTCACTCACGTTGTCTATCTCAACCACTCCTCCCTCTCTTTCACTTACGCTATCTATCTCAACCACACCTCACTCTCTGTTGCTCACGTTATCTACCTCAACCACTCCTCCCTCTCTGTCGCTCACGTTATCTATCTCACCCATTCTCCCTTTCTGTCACTCAAGTTATCTATCTCAACCACTCCTCACTCTCTGTCACTCACGTTATGTCTCTCAACCACTCCTCCCTCTCTGTCGCTCTCGTTATCTCTATCAACCACTCCCCTTTTCCGTCGATCACGTTATCTTTCTCACCAATCACCCACACCCCCTCTGTCGCTCACGTTATCTGTCTCAACCAGTCCTCCCTCTCTGTCACTCACGTTGTCTCTCTCAACCACTCTCCATCTCTGTCGCTCACGTTATCTCTCTCACCATCTCCCCCATCTCTGTCACTCACGTTATGTCTATCAACCACTCCCCTTTTCCGTCGATCACGTTATCTTTCTCACCACTCACCCACGTCCCCCTCTGTCGCTCTACTTTATAGAAACACCTGTGATGTTTGCAGTCAATTCATGAATTCTAAAAAAGGATGTCAAGTTTCCTTTTTTGAAGAGAATATATTCAACTTGTTCTCTTTGCGTTATGGTGATAACATTGCCGGTGTGATGTAATCTGTTAACTCAATGACGCACCAAAAATACCTTTTTAGTGCAGGGACTTGTGTAATTCCGAGGGAATTACATGATAATTTTTGGAACCAATGCTAATTGTAATCACTGTTGTGTATGGATTCAGGAAAAACATGGTTCCATTTTTTATATGTTGGCTATAAGTGTCACTGTGGGGCGATTGAATATGAGTTCCCAAAATTGCTTGCGACACCATTTCGAGAAAAAAACATGTTTTCATAAACCTATCACAACATAGTCATGTAGCATATCAAAAGGCAGCTTATGATGTATGCTATAGAGATAACCACATACTATGCTTCTAATTTCAATATGGTGGCATAAAATATGATATAATCATATAAATTAATCATAGTACAAGAACACAGTAGTACTTTAAAAATGTAATAGTAAAAGGAAATTGCTGTGCAAATCATGCTTGTGTTTGTATGACAAATAATGTCGAAGCTTGTATTTCAACAGCATATTTTGTTCTTGGAGGTTTATGACGGATTGATTGACTATGCAAGTTACTTAACAATGTGAAAGTTAAAATAAATATACTAGTGCACATTATATATTGCGCTTGCATACCCCACTTGTAATATGTAGTTATCTGTTTACTGTGATATAATTTGTCACTCCTGTATTAATGCAAATTTTGCTTTATGTCATTTGTCACTTAATTACCCAGACACGAGTGTCAGTGTGTGTCAATGCTGACTGTACTGGTAGGCCTGATTTGACACTTATGCAAGAATATATGAAAGTCACATTAACCTTATCTGGGTACTATTATTACAACGTACATAAGTGTGTCATGGTAGTATATATTATGAAATGGGTGAATACATTAATTGAAGTTCTCAAGCAATATCACAGCGGGGAACACAAGTCATGGGCTTCACACATTGTACTTATGTTGTGAATAGAACCCTGATATTCGGCGTTACATGCCAACGCTTTAACCACTGGGTTACCTAACCTTCCCCTCATAACGCTGAAATCCTAATGAAAAAAGCATGCAGGTGTGCACGTACATGCATGCATGAATTATTTTTTTGATATTTTGATACTTTTTTGAATACCGGATACATACTTCTTGTAGTGACATATTTACACTTTGTTAAGGTATATATTTGAAAAATAGACAGAAGTCATCTTCGGTTTGGTTTGTATTTGTATTCATGTTCCCGGTACACATTTAACAGCGGTACAGGTGATCTAGTCGTAATCCACTCCACCAGAAATACAACCTCGCCGTGAATTCCTTTCCTGTTACCGGCATATAAAGAGCGCCACATCCTGCCACGACTACCGTAAGCACAGTTTGTTTATTCAATTTGCAACCAATATCTGTAGATATAAATATTTCAATGAGCCAACTAAGCAGCTTTCCCGTTTTAGCTTCTAGCGTAACGCGTTTAGTTATTATGACGTGTAATGTCTGATTGATCAACCGGAATAAAACACACAACTTCAGTTTTCAAAGGTACGGGGACTACAGAATCTCCTTTATGTCGTACACTGTGAGTCAGTGAGTGAGTGAGTTGGGTTTAATGCTGCTTTTAGCAATATCCCGACAATACCACGACCAGCGTTGATCACCGGATTGTCTGGTCCAAACACGAGTATTTTCAGACCGCCGACATACAGCTGGAATATTGCTGAGTATGGCGTAAAACTAAATCACTCAATTTGCAACCAATATCTGGGCATATGAAAAATTCGATATACCGCGTAACCTTCCTGTAAGTATTAGTTTCTGCATTATGGTTTAGTCATTGCGACGTGTAATGCCTGACTGATCAGTCAGAATGCAACACACAACGTCAGTGTTTACAGGGTCTGGGGAATGTCCTTTGATATGTTGTACATTGTGAGTGAGTGAGTTGGGTTTAACGTCGCTTTCAGCTATATTCCTGCAGTTTCACTGCCGGGAACACCAGAAATGGGCTTCACACATTGTACCTGTGTGGGGAATCGAACCTGGGTCTTCGACGTGACGAGCGAACTCTTCAACCACTAGGCTTCCCAAATACCCATGTACACTGTGTTAACAGCGTATAACATATTACTCAACATTACAAAATTTGGACCAACAAATATGTACGTGTTCAGTGATTCGGGTAGAAACATGGTGGACACGTGACATAGGCGCGGAGTGTACTGAACAAAGGTCACTATGCCTCGGTCTCTCCATCTGTGACATCCATCCACAGATCAGCAGCTGGCGATTATAGGGACTGAGTGACTGACTGAGTTTGGTGTTACGCCGTTTTTAGCGATATTCCAGCAACATCACGGCGGGGGACACCAGAAATGGGCTTCACACATTGTACCCAAGTGGGGATTCGAACCCGGGTTTGCGGCGTGACGAGCCAACGCTTTAACCATCAGGTTACCCCACCGCCCCCACTTTGTTGACTGGAGTCTTAAAAATGAATTTATGGAACGTGTCTGGACAAAATTTGTTCCAAAAGACAGATGCTCATTTTCTGAAGTGTACAAACGTAAAAGTGCTAGTTGATGTTTTTCCGCGATAATGAAAGACATGTATGTGCTTTATAGAAACGCCTGTAATGTGTGCAGTCAATACATAAACTCTAAAACAGGATGTCAAGTTTCCTTTTTTGAAGAGAATATATTCAACTTGTTTTCTTTGCGATATGGTGATGATGTGATGTCATGTAAACGTTTAACTCACTGACTCACCAAAAATACTCTCTCTCTACCCCACTCCTCCCTCTCTGTCACTCGCGTCATCTCTCTCAACCACTCCTCCCTCTCTGTCACTCACGTTGTCTCTCTCAACCACTCCTCCCTTTCTGTCGATCACGTTATCTCTGTCAACCCCTCCTCCCTCTCTGTCACTCACGTTATCTCTCTCACCCGCTCCCCCTCTCTGTTGCTCACGTTGTTTCTCTCACCCGCTCCCCCTCTCTGTTGCTCACGTTGTCTCTCTCACCCGCCCCCCATCTCTGTTGCTCACGTTATCTCTCTCAACCACTCCTCCCTCTCTGTGACTCACGTTGTCTCTATCAACCACTCCTCCCTCTCTGTCACTCACGTTGTCTCTCTCAACCACTCCTCCCTTTCTGTCGATCACGTTATCTCTGTCAACCCCTCCTCCCTCTCTGTCACTCACGTTATCTCTCTCACCCGCTCACTCTCTCTGTTGCTCACGTTGTCTCTCTCACCCGCGCCCCCTCTCTGTTGCTCACGTTATCTATCTCACCCGCTCCCCCTCTCTGTTGCTCACGTTATCTCTGTCAACCCCTCCTCCCTCTCTGTTGCTCACGTTGTCTCTCTCACCCGCTCCCCCTCTCTGTCACCACGTTGTCTCTCTCAACCCGCTCCCCTCTCTGTTGCTCACGTTATCTCTCATCACCCACTCCTCCTCTCTGTCACCACGTTGTCTCTCTCTCACCTGCTCCCCTCTCTGTTGCTCACGTTATCTCTCCTCAAATACTCCTCCCCTCTGTCACTCATGTTGTCTCTCTCCACCCACTCCCCTCTCTGATGCTCTCTCACGTTGTCTCTCTCACCCGCCCGCCCTCTGTCACTCACGTTGTCTCTCCCCACCCTCCTCCCTGTCTCTGTTGCCTCACGTTATTCTCTCTCAATCTCTCCTCCCTCTCTGTCACTCACATTGTCTCTCTCACCCGCTCCCCTCTCTGTTGCTCACGTTATCTCTCTCAACCACTCCTCCCTCTCTGTCACTCACGTTGTCTCTATCAACCACTCCCCTTTTCCGTCCATCACGTTATCTTTCTCACCACTCACCCACTTCCCTCTCTGTCGCTCACGTTATCTCTCTTACACACTCCTCCCTCTCTGTCGAATCTATCTATCTATCTACCTATCTATCTAACTATCTATCTACCTACCTATCTACCTGTCTATCTATCTATCTATGATGTACCATATAACTACTTTGATCTCACACCTCTTATTCCGAGGGAACCGCCTCCGTGGTGTAGTGGTTAGAGCGTCCGCCCGGAGAGCGGAAGGTCGCGGGTTCGATCCCCGACCGCTTCATACCAACAGACGTTAAAATATGGTACTTGTTGGTCCCTGCCTGGCGCTCGGCATTAATGGGTACATCAAGGACTGGTCGGCTCGGAGTCAGTATAATGTGTCTGAGTGGGGTATTCATGCTTCACTGCGGCATGGTATCTCAGTGGGCTAGCACTATAAAACCAGCTTAAGTCTGGGCTAGTACAAGCACATACACATACACACACACGCACGTGGTCATATGAGCGAAATATTCTCAAGCACGACGTAAAACCCAATTTCACCTCACCTCACCTATTATGAGGGCTGCACGTACTGTCAGCAGTACATGTATACAGTTGTGCAATGGACCACGGGATCGTCTGACATTCGGGTTCATTCATGCATTCGTTAATTATTCAGAGCAGTTCGTATATTATTATGTCGTATATTAATCATGTCGGGGTTTGTGAAACAGACATCTGTCATCATGTATGTTCAGTACATGCAACGAGTCCTGCTTCAACTCAATTCATTAGTGTACGTAATGCCTCTCCCCCTCTCTGTCACTCACGTTATGTCACTCTCGTTATCTCTCTCACCCACTCCTCCCTCTCTGTCACTCACGTTATCTCTCTCACCATCTCCCCCCTCTCTGTCACTCACGTTATCAGTCTCAACCACTCCTCCCTCTCTGTCGATCACGTTATCTCTCTCACCATCTCCCCCATCTCTGTCGATCACGTTGTATCTCTCACCCACTCCCCCTCTCTGTCGACCACGTTATCTCTCTCAACCCCTCCTTCCGCTCTGTCGATCACGTTGTCTCTCTCACCCTCGTGCCCTCTGTCACTCGTTCCATTCTCTCTCCTCTCACCCACTCTCTGTCACTCACGTTATCTCTCTCAACCACTCCTCCCTTCCTCTCTGTCATCACGTTGTCTCTCTCACCTCTCTCCCTCTGTCCAAGTTATCCTCTCACCTCCATTCCTTCCCTCTCTGTCGTCCATTCTCTCTCAACCCCTCCTTCCACTCTGTCGATCACATTGTCTCCTCTCACTCCCTCCTGTTGATCCACGTTATCTCTCTGTCGCCTCAGGTTATTCTCTCTCACCCCTCCTTCCTCTCTGTCGATCCGTTCTCACTATCTCTCTCCTTCCCTCTCCTCTCCCTCCCTTGTCCCACCCTCCACTGTCTCCTCCCATTCGCTCCAAGTTCCTCTCTCTCACCCTCCTCTCTCTGTCCTTTCCGTTCCATCTCTCATCCCTCCTCCCTCCTCTGTCGCTCAAGTTATCCAGTCTCCAACCCCCTCTCCCTCTCTGTCTCCATCCACGTTATCTCTCCTCAGCCTCCTTCCACTCTGTCGATCACGTTATCTCTCTCAACCCCTTCCTTCCCTCTGTCCGATCCACGTTATCTCTCCTCCTTCCATCTGTCGCTCCAAGTTATCTCTCTCCTTCCGTCCTGCCTCTCCATGTCTCTCGTTATCTCTCTCTCCTTCCTCCTTCTCTGTCGCTCCGTTGTCTCTCTCACAGTCCTTCCCTCTCCTTCCGTTTCTCTCTCTCCACTCCTCCCTCTCTGTCCTCAAGGTTATCTCTCTCCCCTTCCACTCTGTCCACTCCATTGTCTCTCTCACCCTGCTCCCCTCTGTCCTTTCCATTATCTCTCACCCTCCCCTCTCCTGTCGATCCATTATCTCTCCTTCCCACTCCTGTCCGCTCCAGGTTGTCTCTCACCCCTCCCTCTGTTTTCCGTTATCTCTCTCATCCCTCCTTCTCTCTGTCCACGTTATCTCTCCACCCATCCTCCCCTCTGTCACTCCATTATTCAGTCTCAGCTCCCTCCTCTCTCTGTCCGCTCAGTTTATCTCTCTCTCCTTCCACTCCTGTCCGTCCGTTGTCTGTCTCTCACCCTGCTCCTTCCATCCACTCCGTTATCTCCGTTATCCCTCTCCCCTCTGTCCTCCATTCCTCTCTCCTTCCACTCTGTCGTCGTCAGTTCTCTCTCCTCCACTCTGTGTCCATTGTCTCTCTCTCCCTCCTCCTCTCTGTCCATTCCGTTATCTCTCTTCCTCCTCCCTCTCTGTCCGTCCGTTATCTCTCATTCCCTCTCTCTCTGTCTCTCCAAGTTATCTCTCCACCCTTTCCTCTCTGTCCGTTATCTCTTTCCTCCCTCCTCTGTCTCACCCGTTGTCTCTCTCTCCCTCCTCCGTTATCTCTCCTCCACCTCCGTCCAGTTGTCTCCCCTCCTTCCTCTGTGTCCATCTCCCCTCCTTCCTCTCCTGTTGGTCCGGTTATCCTCCCTCTGTCCGATCCCTTATCTCTCCGTTATCTCTCTCCTGTCCGGTCCGTTATCTCTCCACTCCTGTCCGGTCCGTTGTCTCCTCCTTTCTCTCTCCCTCTGTCCGTCACGTTGTCTCTCTCCCTGTCCTTCTCCGTTATCTCCTCTGTCTCCTTCCTCTGGTCTCGTTGTGTCTCACTCCTCCTCTGTCCACTCAGGTTGTCTCTCCTCCTTCCTGTCCGTCGTCGTTGTCTCCTCTCTCCTTCCTCTGTCCGTTGTCTCTCTCCTTCCACTCTGTCCGTTGTCTCTCCTCCTTCTGTGTCCTTCCATTCTCCTCTGTCTGTCCGTCCGTTATCTCTCCAATTCACTCTGTCCTCCGTTCTCTCTCCTCCCGTTGTCCTCCGTTGTGTCCTCTCCTTCCATGTCGTTGTCTCTCTCCTTCCTCTGTCCACTCCGTTGTCTCTCTCGTTGTCTCTCCTCTCTCTCTCCTCCGTTGTCTCCTCCTCTCCGTTGTCTCACTCCTTCTCTCCTGTCGTTGTCTCTCGTTGTCCTCCTGTCTCCGTTGTCTCTCTCGTTCCTGTCCTCACTCCGTTGTCTCCTTCCTCCTCCGTCCGTTGTCTCTCTTCTCCTCTGTCCTCGTTGTCTCTCTCACCTCCTCTCCTGTCTCTGTCGGTCCATGTCTCTCCTCCTGTCCTTCCGTTGTCTCTCCTCTCCGTTATCCTCGGTGTCCGTCCACGTTGTCGTTTTCTCACCTGTCCCTCCGTTATGTGTCTCTCCGTTGTCCGTTGTCTCTGTCCACTCAGTCCGTTGTCTCTCACCTCCTCCTGTCTGTGTCCTCCGTTGTTGTCTCCGTTTCCTCCTCTCTCGTCCACTCCGTTATCTCTCTCACCCCTCCTCTCTGTCCTCACGTTGTCTCTCTCACCTCCTCCTCTTTGTCTCGTCCGTTGTCTCTCTGACTCCTCCTCCTCTCTCGTCCTCCCGTTATCTTTCTCACCACTCCTCCTCCTCTCTGTCCTCCGTTTCTATCTCACCCACTCCTCCCTCTCTGTCACTCCCGTTATCTTTCTCAACCACTCCTCCATCTCTGTCACTCACGTTGTCTATCTCACCCACTCCTCCCTCTCTGTCACTCATGTTGTCTCTATCAACCACTCCTCCCTCTCCGTCACTCACGTTATCTCTTTCACTATCTCCCCCCTCTCCGTCACTCACGTTATCTAACTCACCCACTCCTCCCTCTCTGTCCCTCACGTTATCTAACTCAACCGCTCCTCTCCCTCCGTCACTCACGTTGTCTCTCTCAACCACTCCTCCCTGTCTCTCTGTCACTCAAGTTATCTCTCTCAGCCACTCCTCACTCTCTTTCACGCAAGTTGTCTCTCTCATCTATCTATCTATATATCTATCTATCTATCTTTCCATCTTTGATGTACCATATAAGTACTTTGATCTCCCACCTCTTATTCCGAGGTCTGCACGTACTGTCAGCAGTACATGTATACAGTTGTGCAGTGGAGCACGGGATCGTCTGACATTCGGGTTCATTCATGCATTCGTTAATTATTCAGAGCAGTTCGTATATTATTATGTCGTATATTAATCATGTCGGGGTTTGTGAAACAGACATCTGTCATCATCCCTGTATGTTCAGTACATGCAACGGGTCCTGCTTTAACTCAATTCATTAGTGTACGTAATGCCTCTCCCCCTCTCTGTCACTCACGTTATCTCTCTCACCACCACCACCCCCCCCCCTCTCTGTCACTCACGTTATGTCTATCAACCACTTCCCTTTTCCGTCGATCACGTTATCTTTTTCACCACTCACCCACGTCCCCCTCTGTCGCTCTGCTTTATAGAAACACCTGTGATGTGTGCAGTCAATACATGAAATCTAAAACAGGATGTCAAGTTTCCTTTTTTTGAAGAGAATATATTCAACTTGTTCTCTTTGCGTTATGGTGATGATATTGCCGGTGTGATGTAAACTGTTAACTCACTGACTCACCAAAAATACCTTTTTAGTGCAGGGGCTTGTGTAATTCCATGATAATGTTTGGAACCAATGCTAATTGTAATCACTGTTGTGTATGGATTCAGGAAAAACATGGTTCCATTTTTTATATGTTGGCTATAAGTGTCACTGTGGGGCGATTGAATATGAGTTCCCAAAATTGCTTGCGACACCATTTCGAGCATAATCATATAAATTAATCAATGTACAAGAACACAGTAGTACTTTAAAAATGTAATAGTGAAAGGAAATTGCTGTGCAAATCATGCTTGTGTTTGTATGACAAATAATGTCGAAGCTTGTATTTCAACAGCATATTTTGTTCTTGGAGGTTAATGATGGATTGATTGACTATGCAAGTTACTTAACAATGTGAAAGTTAAAATAAATATACTAGTGCACATTATATATTGCACTTGCATACCCCACTTGTAATATGTAGTTATCTGTTATTTGCTTTATGTCATTTGTCATTTAATTACCCAGACACGAGTGTCAGTGTGTCAATTCTGACTGTACTGGTAGGCCTGATTTGACACTTATGCAAGAATATATGATAGTCACATTAGCCGTATCTGGGTACTATTATTACAACGTACATAAGTGTGTCGTTGTAGTATATATTATGAAATGGGTGAATACATTAATTGAATAAATGGTTTCCATTAATATAGGCCAATACTTACCATGTTGGTTTCCGCAAACAGAAAGACAATATTTGATTAATTTATATGATTATGTCATATTTTATGACACTTATAGCCAACAGAAAAAAATGGAACCATGTTTTTCCAGAATCCATACACAACAGTGATTACAATTAGTATTGGTTCCCAAAAATAACATGTAATCCCTACGGAATTACACAAGCCCCTGCACTACTTACTGACACACTCAAATAGTAGCCTAGGCAATGCCAATCACCTCATCGTTTAATACAGAATACATGGAGCAGACATGATCAGCTTGTGAAAAAGTAAGTGAGTGAGTTATAATTTATCGTCACATCGGCAATATTTCAGACACATCGTGACGAGAACATTTAATAGTTATACATAGTAATTTATGGTTAATTATAAAAAACCTGTCATCGAAGGACAGTAAGACCGATTAGAATATCGCAATATCAAGAAATAAAACTAGCATATATCTCTAAAATAGGATTTCAGAGTAGGACAATACAATATTTAAAAGGCTAAGGATCGCCAACAACTGAAGGTAGACTACCACTCTATGGACCAAGGGGACTTACAGTACTTTGGCTACCTGCAGGGACCCGAGATGAATTTATACCATCCCTTCACCCATTGGCGATTGTACTGATACTTAGCCATAATAAAACAACAAATATTCTACGATTAAAAAGGTGTGTAGATCTGAATAGACTTTGAAAGTTTTGGGACTTTCTCAGGAGGGCAATAATTTTACAGTACTTTAACCCCCTGTGAGGGTACAGCCACTAGCAATCTAAGTTACTAATCTAAACTACCGATCATTAAAATACATCTATCTACAGAGCTTATTAAGCAGAATTCATAAATGAAATCCATTTCTTTTAAATAAACAATAATTAAATGAGAACTAACAGTGGTAAAAAGATCCTTAAGTGTTTTTACAATGCAATATTTATCCGCTAGTGAAAAAGAGTTCCAAGGTTTTGTATTTCACATCTATGCACCAAGAAGAAGTTTTTATCCCTCTGAGGTGATTTCCTTTGTCCACCTCTGTGTTAGGCACAGTTTCTCACTCCAAAGCTCCAGTCGGGCCTTTCCGTGCTTCTCTGTGATGCGGGAACGCCCAGGTACCCGGATGTTGAAAGTAGACAACAGCCAGACGAGATCTCATAGGTTAACTAACTAAACGTCTCCTCTCTTATGCACATGTCAGAACATCCCTCTGCAGTTGTATCGAATACTGTTTTGTCATTGTTGTCTCTAATACCCAGGCCTCGGTATGTCGTGAATCCGTCACCATATGTATTGCAGCTTAGGGAATAGATTGTCGGACAACTTATATCACTACAGCATGGGGAGTGGATTCATTATATTATTACAGCCAGGGGAATAGCTTGTCAGACAACTTATATCACTACAGCTTGTGGAATAGATTGTCAGACAGCTTATATCATTGCAGCTTGGGGAATAGATTTTCAGATAACTTATATCTTAGCAGCCTGGGGAATAGAGTGTCAGACAACATATATCACTACAGCCTGGGGAATAGATTGTCAGACAACTTTTATAACTGCAGCTTGGGGAATAGATTGTCAGAGAACCCATATCACTACAGCTTGTGGAAAAGATTGTCAGACAGCTTATATCATTGCAGCTTGGGGAATAGATTGTCAGACAACTTATATCATTGCAGCCTGGGTAATAGATTGTCAGACAATTTATATCACTACAGCCTGGGGAATAGATTTTCAGATAACTTATATCTTAGCAACCTGGGGAATAGATTGTCAGACAACTTTTATAACTGCAGCTTGGGGAATAGATTGTCAGAGAACCTATATCACTACAGCTTGTGGAAAAGATTGTGAGACAGCTTATATCATTGCAGCTTGGGGAATAGCTTGTCAGACAACTTATATCACTACAGCTTGTGGAATAGATTGTCAGACAGCTTATATCATTGCAGCTTGGGGAATAGATTTTCAGATAACTTATATCTTAGCAGCCTGGGGAATAGATTGTCAGACAACATATATCACTACAGCCTGGGGAATAGATTGTCAGACAACTTTTATAACTGCAGCTTGGGGAATAGATTGTCAGAGAACCTATATCACTACAGCTTGTGGAAAAGATTGTCAGACAGCTTATATCATTGCAGCTTGGGGAATAGATTGTCAGACAACTTATATCATTGCAGCCTGGGTAATAGATTGTCAGAAAACTTATATCACTACAGCCAGGGGAATAGATTGTCAGACAACTTATATCACTGCAGCCTGGGGAATAGATTGTCAGACAACTTATTTCATTGCAGTTTGGGGAATAGATTGTCAGACAACTTATATCATTGCAGCCAGGGGTATAGATTGTCAGACAACTTATATCATTGCAGCTTGGGGAATAGATTGTCAGACAACTTATATAACTACAGCCTGGAGAATTGACTGTCAGACAACTCATATCATTGAAGCCTGGGTAATAGATTGCCAGACAACTTATATCACTACAGCCTGGGGAATAGATTGTCAGATAAATTATAAGATTGCAGCCTGGGGTATAGATTGTCAGACAACTTATATCTCTGTAGCCTGTGGAATAGATTGTCAGACAACTTATATCACTACAGCCTGGGGAATAGATTGTCAGAAAACTTATATCATTGCAGCCTGGGTAATAGATTGTCAGACAACTTATATCACTACAGCCTGGGGAATAGATTGCCGGACAACTTATATCACTGCAGCCTGGGGAATAAATTGTCAGACAACTTATTTCATTGCAGTTTGGGGAATAGATTGTCAGACAACTTATATCATTGCAGCCAGGGGTATAGATTGTCAGACAACTTATTTCCTTGCAGTTTGGGGAATAGATTGTCAGACAACTTATATCATTGCAGCTTGGGGTATAGATTGTCAGACAACTTATATCACTACAGCCCGGAGAATTGACTGTCAGACAACTTATATCACTGAAGCTTGGGTAATAGATTGTCTGACAGCCTGGGTAATAGATTGCCAGACAACTTATATCACTACAGCCTGGGGAAAAGATTGTCAGATAAATTATAAGATTGCAGCATGGGGTATAGATTGTCAGACAACTTATATCTCTGTAACCTGTGGAATAGATTGTCAGACAACTTATATCACTGCAGCATGGGGAATAGATTGTCAGACAACTTATATCACTACAGCCTGGGGAATGGATGGCCGGACAACTTATATCACTACAGCCTGGGGAATTAGATTGTCAGACAACTTATATCATTTAACCCTGGGTAATAGATCGTCAGACAACTTATACCATTGCAGCCTGGGGAATAGATTGTCAGACAACTTATATAACTACAGCCTGGTGAATTGACTGTCAGACAACTCATATCATTGAAGCCTGGGTAATAGATTGCCAGACAACTTATATCACTACAGCTTGGGGAATAGATTTTCAGATAAATTATAAGATTGCAGCCTGGGGAATAGATTGTCAGAAAACTTATATCATTGCAGCCTGGGGAATAGATTGTCAGACAACTTATATCATTGCAGCCTGGAGAATAGATTGTCAGACAACTTATATCACTACAGCCTGGGGAATAGATTGTCGGACAACTTATATCACTGCAGCCTGGGGAATAGATTGTCAGACAACTTATTTCATTGCAGTTTGGGGAATTGTCAGACAACAGGGGTATAGATTGTCAGACAACTTATTTCATTGCAGTTTGGGGAATAGATTGTCAGACAACTTATATCATTGCAGCCAGGGGTATAGATTGTCAGACAACTTATTTCATTGCAGTTTGGGGAATAGATTGTCAGACAACTTATATCATTGCAGCCAGGGGTATAGATTGTCAGACAACTTATATCATTGCAGTTTGGGGAATAGATTGTCAGACAACTTATATCACTTATATGTCAGACAACTTATATCAGCAGCCTGGGGAATAGATTGTCAGACAACATATATCACTACAGCCTGGGGAATAGATTGTCAGACAACTTTTATAACTGCAGCTTGGGGAATAGATTGTCAGAGAACCTATATCACTACAGCTTGTGGAAAAGATTGTCAGACAGCTTATATCATTGCATATAGATTGTCAGACAACTTATATCTCTGTAGCCTGTGGAATAGATTGTCAGACAACTTATATCATAGATTGTGCAGCATGGGGAATAGATTGTCAGACAACTTATATCACTACAGCCTGGGGAATGGATGGCCAGACAACTTATATCACTACAGCCTGGGGAATAGATTGTCAGACAACTTATATCATTGCAGCCTGGGTAATAGATTGTCAGACAACTTATATCATTGCAGCCTGGGGAATAGATTGTCAGACAACTTATATAACTACAGCCTGGTGAATAGATTGTCAGACAACTCATATCATTGAAGCCTGGGTAATAGATTGCCAGACAACTTATATCACTACAGCCTGGGGAATAGATTTGTCAGATAACTTATATAGATTGTCAGATAAATTATAAGATTGCAGCCTGGGGAATAGATTGTCAGACAACTTATATCACTGCAGCCTGGGGAATAGATTGTCAGACAACTTATATCACTACAGCCTGGGGAATAGATTGTCAGACAACTTATATCACTGCAGCCTGGGGAATAGATTGTCAGACAACTTATTTCATTGCAGTTTGGGGAATAGATTGTCGGACAACTTATATCATTGCAGCCAGGGGTATAGATTGTCAGACAACTTATTTCATTGCAGTTTGGGGATCATTGCAGATATGTCAGACAACTTATATCATTGCAGCCATGGGACAATAGATTGTCAGACAACTTATATCATTGCAGCTTGGGAATAGATTGTCAGACAACTTATATCATTGCAGCCTGGGGAATAGATTGTCAGACAACTTATATCACTACAGCCTGGGAATAGATTGTCAGACAACTTTATCATCACATGGGGAATAGATTGTCAGACAACCTATAGCCTGCAGCTTGAATAGATTGTCAGACAACTTATATCACTGCAGCCTGGGAATAGATTGTCAGACAACTTATATCATTGCAGCTGTGGGGAATAGATTGTCAGACAACTTATATCATTGCAGTTTGGGGAATAGATTGTCAGACAACTTATATCATTGCAGCCTGGGGAATAGATTGTCAGACAACTTATATCATTGCAGCTTGGGGAATAGATTGTCCAGACAACTTATATCATTGCAGCCTGGGAATTTGGAGAATAGATTGTCAGACAACTTATCATTTACAGATTTGGGAATAAATTGTCAGACAACTTATAAGATTGCAGCCTGTATAGGGTATAGATTGTCAGACAACTTATATAGCCACTACAGCCTGTGGAATAGATTGTCAGACAACTTATATCTTATTGAAGCATCAGGAATAGATTGATAGATTGCCAGACAACAGACAACTTATATCACTACAGCCTTGGGAATAGATTGTCAGACAACTTATATCATTGCAGCCTGGGGAATAGATTGTCAGACAACTTATATCACTGCAGCCTGGGAATAGATTGTCAGACAACTTATATCATTGCAGCCTGGGGAATAGATTGTCAGACAACTTATATCACTACAGCCTGGAGTATAGATTGTCAGATAAATTATAAGATTGCAGCCTGGGGTATAGATTGTCAGACAACTTATATATCTGTTGCCTGTGGAATAGATTGTCAGACAACTTATATCACTGCAGCATGGGGAATAGATTGTCAGACAACATATATCACTACAGCCTGGTGAATAGATTGACAGACAACTTATATCACTACAGCCTGGGGAATAGATTGTCAGACAAATTATAACACTGCAGCCTGGGGAATAGATTGTCTGACATCTTATATCATTGCAGCCTGGGGAATAGATTGTCAGACAACTTATATCACTACAGCCTGGTGAATAGATTGTCAGACAAATTATAACATTGCAGCCTGGTGAATAGATTGACAGACAACTTATATCACTGCAGCCTTAGGAACGTATATAATTGAAGCATGTTACAATGTAGCCACTGCAATATATCAATATTCTTGTTCATAAGTCATACACATTCACTTGCTGCAATGGGTTCACAATCTCTTAATACTAGTATTTAAGAGAGATAAATGCCATTAACACCAACATTATGTTTGTCTTAGTAGGTGCTTTAAGTCGTAATAATAGTTATTGTAAAACGCCATGGACGAAATCATGTCAATATCCAATATGTCGTTTTATAAGGCAGCACCCAGAGAGCACTGTTTAAAACCTGCCACTCACGTCTTGTACAACTGTTGTTGGCAGGGTTGAAGCTGTACCCTGGTATACACTTGCAGGTCTTCGTGAAGCACACAAACTTCCTGACTGATGAACAGTCCAAGTCCGTTAAGCAGCTCGACTCCAGGGTACTGCTGACAGTGTCACCTGTGAATTACAGCTGCATTAAATCTTAACGATACAGGACGTGTATTAATTGTATACACACGCCCTCACTATCACCCTCGGTGTCAACCCCACACTCATATACACCCTCACTATCATCCCTCGGTGTCAACAACACCACACTCGTCAACACTACACTATCGCCCTCACTATCACCCTCGGTGTCAACACTACACTCATCTACACCCTCACTATCACCCTCGGTGTCAACACCTACACTCATCTACACCTCACTATCACCCTCGGTGTCAACACCACACTCATCTACACCCTCACTATCACCCTCGGTGTCAACACCACACTCATCTACACCCTCACTATCACCCTCGGTGTCAACACCACACTCATCTACACCCTCACTATCACCCTCGGTGTCAACACTACACTCATCTACACTCCTCACTATCACCCTCGGTGTCAACACCACACTCATCTACACTCCCTCACTATCACCCTCGGTGTCAACACCACACTCATCTACACCCTCACTATCACCCTCGGTGTCAGCACTACACACTCATCTACACCCTCACTATCACCCTCGGTGGCAACACCACACTCATCTACACCCTCACTATCACCCTCGGTGTCAACACTACACTCATCTACACCCTCACTATCACCCTCGGTGTCAACACCACACTCATCTACACCCTCACTATCACCCTCGGTGTCAGCACTACACACTCATCTACACCCTCACTATCACCCTCGGTGTCAACACCACACTCATCTACACCCTCTCACTATCACCCTCGGTGTCAACACCACACTCATCTACACCCTCACTATCACCCTCGGTGTCAACACCACACTCATCTACACCCTCACTATCACCCTCGGTGTCAACACCCCGGTGTCCACACTCATCTACACCCTCACTATCACCCTCGGTGTCAACACCACACTCATCTACACCCTCACTATCACCCTCGGTGTCAGCACCACACTCATCTACACCCTCACTATCACCCTCGGTGTCAACACCACACTCATCTACACCCTCACTATCACCCTCGGTGTCAACACCACACTCATCTACACTTCCTCACTACCTTTATCCATTATCCACCCTCCTTTTCCTCCATTCTTCTGATCATCCACTATCCTCCGTTGTCCTTCCATCCACCCTCCATTCTTCCTCATTCTTCCACCCTCCATTCCATTCCTCCATCTCTCCTCCTTCCTCCTTTTGTCCTTCCTCCATCCGTTGTCCATCCTCCTTTCCTCGTGTCCACTCACCCCTCCATTGTCCTTCCTTCCACCCTCCGGTGCCTTCCATCCTCCGTTTTCTTCCACCTCCGTTGTCCTTTCCTCCATCCTTCGGTGTCCATGTCCTTCCATTGTCCTTCCTCCATCCACCCTCCACTATCCTGGTGTCCATCCATGCCTCCACCTCGTTGTCCTTCCATCCACCTCACCTCCGTTATCCTTTTGTCCACCCTCGGTGTCCATTTTCCTCCACTCGGTGTCCTTCCTCCACCTCCATTCTTCCTGATCGTTGTCTTCCTCCACCTCTTTGTTCCTTTTATCCACCTCCGGTGTCCTTCCTCCATGCCTCCTTCCACGTTGTGTTCCTGGTCCTCCGTTGTCCTTCCTCCACCTCGTTATTTTCCATTCTACCTGGGGTGTCCGTTGTCCTTCCACCTCGTGTCTTTGTCTCGTTGTCCTCCTTCGGTGTCTTTTCCTTCCTCGTCTGTCCGGTGTCTTCCTGTCTCGTGTCTGTTGTTCCTCGTTGTCCTTCCTCCTCGTCTTCCTCCGGTGTCCTTTCCACTCATCCACCTCCGGTATCTTCCTCCATCCACCCTCATTCTTCCTCACTGTCCTTCGGTATCCTTTTCCTCCATCCACCTCCTTCACCTGAGTCTATTTTCCTCCACTCTCCACCTTCCTTCCATTTATCCACCCTCCTTTCCTCATCCATTGTCACCCTCGTGCCACTCATCTCCTTCGTCCTTTCCTTCCTCGGTGCTTCCTTTATCCGTTGTCCTTTTCCTCACTACCACCTGGGTGTCCTTTCCACTCACGTTGTCCTTCCTCATTGTCCGTTGTCCTTCCTCCATCCGTTGTATTTCCTCCGGTGTCCATCCTGGGTGTCCTTCCGTTGTCCATATTTTCCTTGGTGTCCGTTTGTCCTTCCACGCTCATCCACCTCCACTGTCCTGGGTTGTCCGTTGTCCTTCGGTCCTGGGTGTCAGTGTCGTTGTCATTATCGTTATTCCTCGTCGTTATCGGTGTCCGTTGTCCGGCCATGTCCGTCGTCGTTGTCCACTGTCCTTCCGTCTGTCACCTCGTTGTCGTTCGTCTGTCCGTCACCTCGGGTGTCCTTCCTCGTTCGTCGTTCGTCTTCGATCCGCCATACTGGGTCATCGGGTTTCCTGGTTCGTTTGGTTGATTGTCGGTCTTCGGTCGCGTTCGGTGGTCGGTCGGTTTCATTCCATGGGTTTCGATACCTGTCCGGGATATTTCTGGTCGTTCTGGGTCCATGTATTTTCCTGGTGTCATGTCGTCATCGGTGAATCATTCCGGATGTTATCTTGTCTGTCCTTGTCGGTATATAGCTCATGGAATGAAAATAGTTCATTATAGTCTTCGCCATTATGTGACGTAATTTGACGAGGAAGAATGTTTGGTAAGAGTTTCACCAAGCTTATTGGCAATATCATCCTCCGTCAATAAATTGTCCCTATCCTTGAGATGGTGAACAGTAGAGTTAGAACCATTGCCCTTTATTTTTTGTATGATATTCCACACCTTTGAAAAAAGTGTGCGTGAATTTATCCCGGAAACATAATTTCTTCAAGACTGATGCTTACTCTGCTTTCAATGCGCGTCGAGCCATGGCATTTAAATTTTTAAATTCATTCAAATTATGCACAGTAGGATGTTTCCGAAAATACTTTCCGGTTTTCTTCTCACACTTTCTGGTCTGTTTACATTCTTCACTGAACCATGGTATAGTTTGGTCAACAATGTCATTGAGTATATCTGAGAACAACTGTATAGGATCTTAGCCTTTCACAAAAAAACATCCTGACTTAAGTGATCAGTACATCGTGTTTGATATAATGACCAATGAGCCCGGGCGAAGTTCCTTCTTGATAAATGTGGATCATCGCCAGGGGTGATTGTTTTGAGAATGGTGGGGAAGCGATCACCCCCATGTGGAGTGGACCGTCCATTAAAAAATTCATTATACTAAATGAACACTAGCAACTGAAGGCAGATCACTATACCAGGGACCACGGGGACTTACCACTAAAAGCGCCTCCAGTAGCTTTATACCCTGGAGGGGAAAAGAAATGATAATCACTGCAATGTCTTAATTAAAGGTATCAGTATTTTTAAGATATGTCTCATGAAGATCTTGTATGAGTAATTGCATGTCATTGAATTTATTCTTCATTCCTCTGCAATTCCACTGAATTATATTTGCCAGTTGAGTCATGGTGGTGGCTCAATTGCCGTTCGTTCACTATTCCTCCGCATGTCCTGCGGGAACAGAGTGACCTCTTCCTTTTGATGACTCGGAGCCTGGCTTCGATGGTTTTCTTGAATTTTTAAGACAGTTGTTTCTGACTTGACCCACGTCAAGCGAGTCTGACATGCAGCTGAGGACATTGCCACAGACTGCAGCAGAATACAAGATGTTTTTTGATCTTCATGATCTTTGAAACACAGGGCATTGCCTAGATGAAGCAGGGTGAGGCCCGTCACAGTTAACATACCTGGGATCAATCTCACAGTCTGTATCGTCATGGTGATTTCCACAGCGATGACACACTGCAGACTTACGGCATGGGTTGGAACCATGACCAAACTGTTAACATTTGTACCACCGGGGTGAATTGGGCATATGCACATACACACAGATAACCTGCTTAAATTGACTGCGGAAGAGACGAACGAGCAAAAGTCAATAGTAAGTGTTTGTTTTTGTAAGAATTCCTTCTTTCTTAATTATGAAACGTTTCACAGCTGACACACCTTGATCTTCTCGTTCTGCTGCAATGTGCTCCTCTGATATATCAGAGAGACAACGCGCTCTATCTCGGATGATGCCACGTCATGAGTTTAGTGCACAGACAGCAACCTTAATACAGGCCAAAATCTTGATTGACAACAGATTGAGAGACACCTTTCTCCATGCACACTCCACATGAAGCGATCCACTATGGCGACGAGTAAGTTTTTTACTTCTCCGAAAATGCTGGATATTAGCCTTTGAAATAACGAACAGATTAAACCTGATTGGAAGAAAATCTGCAGCTTCAAGTACCAGAAATCGAACCCAAGAGTCACTGTTAGAAGACGTGTTTCCAGTAGAGACATCTAAATCTTCTAAACGTCTTTTCTTTTCGTTTCTAGTTGAACCAGCTTGTTGGGGTAACATGATGAAAGGAAAATGATTCGACATCCCTGCTTCCTATCCACCACGGGGTGTCAACAAGGATCGTGTCAAAATAGCAACGGATATCCAGGATGCTGACACCAGGGATACAGGGGTGTTATATTCCAGAAAACTACCACAAATAGCTGCATTTATCTACCAATTTAAGGTTAAACTGGTTCTACAAAAATCTATGTAATTGCATGTAATGTGTAATTGAATGTTCAAAATGTAATTTGTAATTGTAATTTGATTAATTAATATCTTAATTACTTTTTCAATTACATCAAAGTACATCTCACCTTTTATATTGGTGGTCATCAGGCAACCCATGCAATTATATGCTGTATAATAAGGAGGACAAAGTAGTGTTTTTCTATAAGATGCTTGTTGTCAGTATATACTCTAGCAGGTGTTAGGTTTTGAAAGTGAGTGAGTGAGTTAAAATTTATCGTCACATCGGCAGTATTTCAGCAATATCGTGACGAGAACAATTAATAATTATATTATAGATCAATGAAAAATAGAAATTACGAAGAACAGTAAAACTACTAGTGTATCTCAGATAGAGATATAAAACTAGCATGTAACTAAAAAACTATACTATAATGCAAGACAATACAATATAAAAACGGGCTATAAATAACCAGCAACTGAAGGTAGATCTCCATACTAGGGACCATGGGAATTACAGTGCCTTTGCTACCTGCATGGGCCTAAGGTTTGAAAGAGATTTGAATGTCTAAGCCTTTGAAGTCTTAGAACAAGACATTGTTTTCAAGGCTTTTGTATACCCAGGTATGAGCACTGCTTTGAACATTACATAAACACCCTTTGTTATTTTGAGCTGTTAACTGCACTCATTGTCGAACAAATGACCTTGCTATATTCCAAGCTTGGACCGCAGGCATTTGCTACGCTAATTCTATTAGTTTAACATCATTATAATTTCACTGAATAGTAATGCTGGTGGTTTGTCACTGAGTTGAGTTTTCCCTTTAAACAGTTTACCATGTCAAGTAAACAGTGTTTTTAGGGAGGCTTTTGGATTTCCTGTTGATTTCATCCCGTCTCAGACTTTTAAGACCAAGTGCAAGACATGTGATTCTTTCATATCTGGAGCCCTTAAAGCTACTTCCAACTTCCTTCGCAATCCATGTGCAATTTCCATAAATCTAAAATGTTTAGTTATTGATTGATTAACAATTATTTTACCTATGAATGATATGGCTAATACCATGAAGCGTTCATTTAAACACTGAAGTTATACATGTTTGTTTGAGCATTTTTATTTACAGAGGTAGGTCACAAACTGATAAAAGCAAACACTTATTCCATCATTTACATGATAAATGTATACAACAGACAATAAAGAATATTAAACATCAGTCAAATAGCTAGATTTTTAGTTGGTTTAAAGCTATTCTGAAATAAATTCCTGATCAATAGACAAATATAAATAAGGCTGCCGTTAACTCAAGCCATGTGACTGGCATGTACCATCTGCACATTTGTGAAACAAAGAGAATCAGTACCGCACGACTGAATGTAGGTTAGAATTTGAGGAAATGGAGGATTAACTGTACTATTAGTCAAGTTCCTATCAAAATGGCCTCTTTGTTTATTTCTCATAGGATATGATATTAAAAATATTACTGAACTGTAGTCCTGTTGTTATAATCATGAAATGTAATAAGCGATAAATTAAATTGACAATTCCTTCAGTATGTTAATGTGGATTATGTCAGATAGAGAGACCGGCAGATTTTATATTCTAAAGTAGGTCTGTATTGATGAGTCATGATACAGTATACCTAAGGTAACAGTGGTGGACAAAGTGTTTTTTTGCAAAGCTCGATCTCTCATGCCATTGTCCAATGCAGAAAACTCGTACATTCGAGACCTCCTTCACTGCATGGAACCAGGGTTT